TATGCGCAGAGTCTTATCCTCTTGCTCTTTGAGCCTTGAAGCAGTCAAGTATGGACACACTATATCGGCTGTTGGAGTGGAACCCTGTACAGGTAGGCTCTACTTTTCAGGGTGGGGGGGGGGGGGGGGGGGGGGTCTTCGTTCTGAATAATCAGGGGTTAGGATTTGCACCCGGTCGAAAGAAACCTTGCAATCGCAAGAGTAACTCCAGCTAGCTTCGCTAGCTTTCGTGATATAGCTTGCCAGTGGTTACAAGAACTTGTGCACTACTTAAGGTTGACCAGTTTGGGTCACCACATGCATGCATGCGTCATTCGTTGGAACTACGCCATGTCATTTCTCGGATGAAACAACACCTAGGAAGCGACCGTACAATGAACAACTCTTCCTGCACCACGTGGGATCATGGGAATCGTGGTCTCCGCCTCCGCTGTATGATCCGTCCCGCACATAACACATAAGTCCCCATCCTCTCATCTTCGGATAGCATGTGGTCAAAACCGTCAAAGGGGAGTCATGTAGACTCTTGAATTCATAAACCGAAGAGGATGTCCAATTCATTATTTGAGGGCTTATTCATCAATTCTGCTTCTTTGGGAGCGTTTTTCGACCCACCACTACCCCCTCGAGCTCGCCGGACCGGAAATGCCGGAGCACTGCTCCGCGGTTTCCCTCGCGTGTCGTTTCGCGGCGCGACGTGGGCGGATCGAAGGCTCCGAGGGGCTCACGTGATTGGGTCGAATCTCTTGCGGGCGCATGCAGCTCAACAAGGCCAAGGCTAGAGCCCAGCGTGAGGCCTTTTCCCCGACGCTCATGGTAGCGCTGAAGCTGATGACTGTGGGCTGAAGAGCCTGGGACATGGCCTGGTCTGAGTGGGTGAGGAGTCTGAGGTGAGTGAGCGAGAGCGGTGCTCGAACATCGCTGGCTTTACTCTGACCATAACCCGGCTGCCACCATTGCTTTACAAGAACTTGTACATGATAAAACCAGGTCAGCCCTTTTAAACGTAGTCTTGGACTCCCAGGAATCATATCTGGCTACTGCAAACTGACACGTACTCAAAACATTTCAACCACGGACTCGGCCAATGACGAACGGCCCCGGAATCGGAAGTCCAAGGAACAAAAAGAAAGGTCCGGGCTCCGTCATGCGTTTGACCCGGGCGAGACCCAAGCGACTCCAAGTCTCAACCACGAGAGGTCAAGTGACCTTATAGGACCCGAAGCCGGGGGTACTAAATGGGATAGTCTATAGGGCCTTGTCCTTCAACCTCTGTTGGAACATGTTGGAACCCATTTTCTCCAAACCTGGATCCATCTCTGGCCTGGAGAACGCTCAAAGCCGCCTGCCACGCCCCAGTCTCGCAAGCACTGATGCCTGCGTTGAAGCATACGTCATCGGGCAGAAGACGTGCGAAGGGCATGTCCTTGAAGAGGCCTCGGGAGCTCGTTTTCTCCCCCACCATCTGCGCGCATGTGCGGGGACTCCCAACCTTCAGATCCCTTCAGCAGTTTCAAGAAGGCAATTCTCCGCGATCCTCCCTTTCCTTCCCATTCCTGCCCTACTTTTGCATGTGTGCGTCTGGCCGCCGACGGTCCGGACCCATTGTCCGCCATTCATGGCGCTCATGGTTGCACTGAAGCTCACTGCGTCAGGCGCTGGAAGCCGGGAGAAAAGTGACTGGGCCAACAGCCACTGCTGGCCTCAACAGGATGAGAAGTACAGTAAGTGGACTGGGATGTAATAAGCAGTCTACGACAACCGTTTCATCGTGGGGTTGCTTACGTTCCCTTCCCCTCCTGAATGGTTCACTTCTGCATGGGTCCTCTTCGTCTTTAGCCGCCAGCCTTTCAGCCTTCCACAACCAAAGATGTTAAGAAGAGGACTTGGCATGATGGATGGATGCCTGAACTTGGGCGCCTCAGCCGCCGCCTGAACTTGTGCAACCCCCCCCTCCGGCCAAGCCAGCTGCGCAAGGCAACGCAGCCGCTTCCAACCATGCGCCCCGCTTCCGGCCTGGCGCGCACGCAGAAATGCCGGCATTGATGTGGATCATGTTAGGCTGAACCTGGTGTCCGGGCATGGACGCCAACAGCCTGCACGCCCGATGCCACTCACCTGGCACGTCGGCCGAAACACAGGCTGAAGTAGCCCTGCGCTACAACGAAAAACTGCCTGCGAGGTAGACCCAGATGAAAGGACAAAAGACAGAATCATCTGCCACTGCTACATGTGTTGTTGGTGTGCACTAATCTACTACAACATGAAGGGAGTAGAGCTGGGCTAATTGAAACACAAAGATGGTCCAACGGTCCAACGTACGCCCACGCATTTTGTTTGCAGAGAAGAAGGCTTCAACATGCTTCAACCCAGTTGCCACACAGGGCATTCAGGCCCAACAAAAACATCACAGCTACATCCAAGACACTCCCAGCTCCACAAGTCGCAATCGCTATGGTGTAGCAAGCTGGGTCCAACGCCTTCCAGTCCAACAGCGTCAGCACTTTGCACATCAATTCCTGTAAATGCGGTGTCATGAGAAGCAAAGCACATGGGTCAGACACTCAAGGTCAGTTGGGCTCAGTCTCAGAGCATGTTTTCGGGGATCTTTGTGGCACGGAACCTGCCCCGAAAACTCATGTCCTACCAGCTCAACAAATGGACATGACCTATCCAGGGAACCAGGTCGGTATATCGATATATCCAGGAAAACGTTCACCGGACTGTCCATGTCGCATTTTGGAACTACTGCAAAAAGCGGGGCCAACGCACACCACAAGTGATCCCGTTCGTTTGGACGGTCGCTGTGTGGGGGGTGGTGTGATCCAACAAAAAACGCTCCGACTCCGGCAAGGCATCTTGAACGGCAACAGTTTGGGCATTCTCTGAACACGGGCCAACATATCGAAGAATGGGCCCCATCTCCGCTAGAATAATGCGGCTCAGCATCGCTATCCCTTCTTTCCGCGATCATCCTCAGCACTTGCTTGCAGTTGCTTGAGTCTACCACTGACCAAAGCCTCCGGTAAATCTCTTCGCGAGCGCCAGGGGTTGAAAGCAGCTTCATGGGCCCGACACTTCCGCGACGTCCAGGGAGACCTGATGCACGGCACCATGGGTGAGCAAACACAACATTAGACCTACCAAAAGGGGTGGGTCCCAGCCCTACCTCGTTGTACCACAAAGGGTCCCAGCCCAAGTCTTTCAACCTCCCTTAGGTATTTCTGTGATATCGGTATTTAAACACCGAACGCGGGAAGTCCTTGGACCAACCGCACCGAACGCGGGAAGTCCTTGGAGCGCACGCGGGACCGAACTCAGATGGCCAAGTGGAGTTCACACCGTGCGATCTTCGGAACGCCGGTCAGAACCACGTGACCCACCAGGGAAACGTCGTTCCCCACGACTTGGGCGCGAGCTCGGGTCTCAATGGATGTGGGCGAGGGAACTCGGTTTTTCGTGAGCAACATGTTTGGATCGAACTCGGGCGAACGTGTGTTTTAAAGGGTCGAACTCGGCGGTACCTATCTACCAGGTACAGGTGGATTTGTTTCAACTTTGCATGTATCTTTCTCGATCTCCCAGCACCACAGGTCACGTGGCTTGAGGAATTCAAGGGAATGCCACTCCAGAACAGTACCGACCCTGGTACCCCTCCTCTGGCGCGCTGACGGTCCAGGCGACTGGACCTTCTCAAGACGCCACCCTCTCTTCTCATCTTCCAACTGCTGTGCTGATGTAGCACACTTCCCATGGGAACCAGCACGAATTCCAGCGGTCCAGCGGTCGGCGCGGATTCCCGTGGGCGCGGATATTGTGGAGCCAAAAGGGCCTGGATCTCAACAAGTCGTCAAGTCGTGGCGTGTCAGTAGAACACGTCTGTATATCTGACATAGGGTCCTTTGAAGTCATCAGATCAATTCATCTCTTCTTGAATAGTCTGACTGACAAAACTCTCTCTCTCTCTCTCTCTGGCTCGCATAACTCTCTCTCTCTCTCTGGCTCGCATAACTCCATGACCCTGTTAACTCAATGTTTTAATGACCTGTGGCAATCCCTGTGGTGGATTCATTGATATTCATTGTATATACGATAATCATATACCAATTCATCCACAACACATGAGATGTGTGTCTGATGTCTCGCAAAAACGTATATAATTACGGTAACTGTACACTAACACGGATTCCCACAGAAACTCACGGACTCACCTCAGTTGAAAGGGTGGACTCACCCTGCTGCGTCTGCGCTTCCCACTCTAAACACTTCCATTGGAACTGAGTGGCTCTGTTGCTGGTCGACATGAACTATTTGGCCGCCCCTCAACTGCCCAAACAGGGAAGATCTGCCAAAGTCCACCCCAATCCCATCCAGCTACCTCAGGTTAGACATGGAAAACCTTCGAACCTTCAGGTCCGTGCCGTTCCCCTCCCGTTCCGCCTGCTGCTGTCGGCCCGCAAACACCTCCAGAACGAACGCAGGCGGGAGCAACCGCCGTCACTGCGTTCGACCGACGGGTTCGAGAGGTGCAACCCGCCGTCCTGCTACAAAGGCAGCAAAACAAAGCAGGGTGAATGGAACAAGAACCACCGGGAAGACGACTTTAAAAAGATTGGGGATCATGCAATATTAGATTTCTTGGATAGCGTCAAACTGGTTGACAAACGAATTACACCTTGCGAAAAAGGTAGCAGCGGCACCCGAAGTCCGCAAACACGAAAACAAGAGGGCGCACTGAAGCGCCGCGGCCGCGCCTTTTGCAAGGCAACTGCCCTCCCAGTCTTGAGAGGGAACGACGGTAAGTGAAGGTCGAAAACAGTTCGAACTGCCGAAACACAAGTGCACAGCGTGAACTTTACATGGGGGAGAATCCTTCGTCATCACCCCAGTTCCGCTGTTCGAACCGGTCCAGCCATTGGTAGACCAAGGTCCGCACAGATGAGCCTGACCGATCATCGACAAGGTCAGGTGGAATCACCCTCAAACTACAAAGGCGGCAGAAATCTACTCGCCGCTGCAGGCTTTCATCTCTTCCGGCCAGGCTTGAACAGTTCAAGGTCGTGTGCCATCTGGCGCCACGCCGGCTGATGATCATGCCATTGTAGAAGGGGCATTCATTTCCATGCTCATCCATCTGCCTCAGGGCGATCTTCAGGATCTGGGAGGCTTCCTGTGCAAGGGTCTCAGCAGCATTCTGGTTTCTCAGAACCAGATTCATCGCTGTCGTGGCTTCGACAGCAGCAAGGCGGGACTCCTCGGCTTTGGAACTCCAGCGCAGGACTTCCTGCTTCAGGCGTTTGACTTCTTCTCTAAGGCGAGCTGGGATGATCGCTTCATCCTTTTGGACTGCAGCCTCAGTGACCTGGGGTGGTACTCGGTGGTGTGCATCATGGCTCCATCGACCAACCATGAAGGCTGTGCTCAAAAAAAGTAGAAGGAGGGTGCACAAAACAGTTCCAAACCAATCCATTCCAGCTTCAGGTTCCACATTGGCCGAATCGGCCGTGACCAGCTGCGGGGCCATGAACAAAAGCAAAAACCAAAACATGAAATTCGTCTTACGACCGCGGTAGGACTCGAGCGGGCGGCTTCCGACATGGCTCGGACTGTCGGAGACATACTCAAGCTTCCGGTCGGTCCTGGCAAACATGACATTCACAGGAACCTTGGAATTCCGAAAAATCTCTTCATTCCAAAACACCTGCTCATCGACATTCACGTCATTCTCCGCAGGATTCTCGTCGATGGGCTGCTGGTGCTCCTCGTGGAGGTTGGGTTCCTCATTGATCACATGTGGTGGTACCACATGGATGCTTTCGGGTTCCTCATTGATCACATGTGGTGGTACCACATGGATGCTTTCAGCAAGACTCTGTTGGAGCTCAGCTTTTGTCTTCTTCTTGGCAGCTTTGTATGAGGGGTCCCAAACAAGCTTCAAACGACCGTGACGTAGCCGTTGTGCAAGAAGTGCTCTGGCCGACTCTTTTGTCAAACCGTCAGCCAGTTGGCGCTCCGATGACGTCCACCTCAAAGAACCGCCCAGTGAAGACAGGCGATCCTTCATCACACGGATCTCAAGCGAAACTCGCTTGTCAACCACAGAGCTTCCGACTCCTTCTCGGTGATAGGAGTCGTAAAGGGCTTTGGCGTCCGTGATCATGGTGGGCGACAACAAGGATGGAGCGTCCAAGAGCTCTTGGAGTCGCTGGCGAGGGTCAACCAACAAGCTCCAGTAGATGCTGGCATGCTCCAAGGCATCGCAAGCTTGACCACCGCTTTGTGCTTCGGCGCCCAAGGAAGAGCGTGCAACTCTTGGCGTTTTCAAACTGCGCCAATCCAACACGTGGTAGGCTCCTTCGGGACCATTGGCCTGAAGCAAAGCTTTGTTGACCATCAGGATCACATAGCCAGCTTGTGAGGCTCCGTCACTGCGGGTGGCAAAGGCAGCATCAAAAAAACATACCAAACAAAGTTCTGAAACTTCGCCCAGGTGGCTGTACTGTAGGCCAACATCAGCATTTTCTTTTGCAAAACGCAGCAGGCGATTTGTGTCGGCCACTGTCTGAAGCGTGGCCTTGGTGACATGACCGCTCAGGATCGAGGTGCTGCTCTGCAAGTGGGGACTGCTTTGAACTGCGGGCCATTGAAGTGAACCAAGAAGTCCTCTCAGCTGTGTCAACTCACGCTGATTGAGCGCATCGGTGAGGCTGCGCTTCTTGTCGTAGGTGATCGGTTTCACCTTTCCCATGTAGCTGGTCTGGTTGAGGAGGAGACCATCATCCTTGACTTGAATGTCTCAACCACAATAGGTCAAGGGCTTTCCATCATCACCAGTTTTCCATTCACGGAAGTTGAAGGTGCTCTTCAGCTTGGTGATGGTGTCGTTGTAGCACTGGGAGGATGGCGAACCGCAACCAAGCATGTCATCGACGTGCATGATGACCATACCACATAGGCCATGAGGTCCAAGCAGGTTGGAGTGCTCAGCTGTGGTGTCATACTCAGGGTTGAGGTCACCTTCATAGATCAAGAAGCAGCAAGGGTCTTGAGGATGCTGTCGGAGGCCCATAGCGCTCAGCTTATCAACTGCAGCCATGAACCAAGATCTCGGGGCATCGATCTGGCCGTAGCAGGGCTTGAGAAGCAACATACGGGTGTCAGCTGTAGCTCCAAGCAACTGCAAACACTCTTGAGGAAGCTGCACCCACAACTTGCGTGTCTGAGGTCGACCCTGCAGGAAGGCGGTTGCTATGTCTGAAGTCCAGATTGGCCACTGCATGGTGGAGGCCAAACTCAACAACATGGATCTCGACAGCCTCGTGGTTGTGGGCGATGAGGTTGGAACAGTTCCTTCCCAAGCGTCTGGGTCCATGAAGCCTCTGACAATGAGCCTGGCTTTGGCAAGGGGGCTGCCATCAGGATTCTTTGACCACTTCAGCAGCATGCGACTGGTCAGCGTCCGACTGGGCTCAGCTTCTCTGGTGGTCTCGAACTGCCAGACGTGGTTGTCAAAGAAGGATTGCAACTCTTTGACCTTTGCAGCTTTGAAGGCTGCTCGCTCATCAGGAGTCATGTGGCGCTCCGAGAGGTTGTTCTTGTTCTTGTCTTTCTTGAAGCTTTTGGCGTGCCGGAGTTTGGTCTCCTTGCCAAGCTGTCGTGCTCCTTGAAGTGGGGCCTTAGCGAACATGGCCATCTCTCGACGAAGGTCGCCTTTGATCTGGAAGATCGTGACTCCAGTCCATGAGCGATCCAAGGGAGTGGAAGCCGTGTAGCCATCGTCGGTCTGTTGGATGCTTTTGCCGTTGTTGTCATACATAATGGTCACCCGAACCAGATCAAGCTGCTCTGAGGTGAAGGGGCTGTCTTTTGGCAATTGGTGCAGGCACATCTTGGATCGTCGAGGGATCACATGGTGTCTGATCAAACATCCGGCTTTGACTTCCCAGAAGTCGCGGTCTCTCGTCGAGCTGGAAGTAGCCATTCTCATAGGTCCAACCTTTTGGCAGGCAGTTGGCTTCAATGCCGGAGACTTGGAAGGCATGATTCAGCAAGGCGTGATCAGGTGCCTTCTAACTTGCATAGAGAGCAGGATCATCCGAAGCAGCTGGAGCTGCCGATACTTGGGCTGGCGCTTCTGCGGCTGCCGCTGTTGCTTGTGTGTTGTGCTCTGCACTGTTGTGTTCTGCTTCTGGTGTTGTTGTTTGTGACGTCGTGTTGTATGGCTGTGGTGACCCAATGCGCTGTCTTCGCAGGGGGCCAAAACTAAGTGTCTCCTGTCTGTTAAAGCGAACTCGTCGTTGTTGAAAAGTTTCAGCATCGACTGGTTCATACAATGCTGCAGTGTCAGGGTCCAGTGAAGGCCCTGACATTGATGCTTGAGGTGCTGTTGCAATAGCCGGTGGTGATGCAGCATGTGGTGTGGGTGCTGCAGATGGTATGGTTGGCTCTTCGCTGGGTTCGACCACAGTAGGAGCCCGTGAGCGGGACCTAGTGGTGGCTGGTGAACCTGGTACAGTGATCTCGGCTGGGGCCATGGGCAGCAACATGTTTGGTTCTGCCATCACTGGTGTTGGTGGTGCTCTGGGAGACGTCGGTGCAAAGCTGGAATGAGCAGGTGAAGTAGGCTCATATTCATCATCGGGCACGATGATCTGTGGTGGTGCTTCTGCAGTCGGCACGGGTGGCTCCAGGCGAAAGCGATGCCTGGGAGGCTCATCATCATCTTCTTCCAGCAGAGGACCATCAGGGTCAGTGTGTTGTTCATCTTCCTCGACATCATCCAGCTGTTGGCGGTTCACCCGTCTCAAGTCGTAAAATCTAGTGACTCCACGGGATTTCAGCTGTCTCACTTTGTTGAGGGCTGATTGCAGGTCTTCGAGCACGTGCTGAGGTCCGAGGATGTCTGCACGGACATGGTGAGGCGCAGCACGAATCAACTGTGTTTTGTAGGCGAGCCAGTAGGTCTTGACCTTTGGAGCTGCAGTATCAGCTTCAGCATCTTCTTCACGAAGAACCACGTGGGCAGGACCAAGCCATCTGATCTTGTTCAGGGCTCCTTGGCGAGCATCACGCCAAAACCATACTCTTTCTCCCAACTGGAAAACTCGATTCTGGCCCTGGTACTTGCGACTGAGAGCTCGTCGCAGCTTGGAGTCAGCATCAGCAGATGCCAGTGCCATCTTTGCAGCAGTTCGCCGCCCAAGGTTCTCCTCAAATGAGCTGTTGTTGCCAGCAAGTTGAGCTGCATTGAGGTTGGAGTCCATGAGGTGGGACAGCTCAGGTTGGAAGCCAAGAAGCCATTGACTGGGCGAGAAGCCAGCAACTGCAGGTGTGGCGTTCTGCTGTGGGATCACATAGCAAAGTGCTTCCTTGATGCCAGCAGCGTCGTTGAGCTTGCGGTCATCCATGTAGACCTCACAGGCACGGCGCAGCACTGCATGACGGCGCTCAACCAACCAAAGGCGCTCATGAGCTTCTCCTGGTGCTACTTGATGGTCAATGCCAAGTGAGCTTGTCCAAGATTCAAACGGTGCACCAAGCCAAGGTCGGCCTTCATCGGAGATCAGCTTCTTGGGAGGGCCAAAATGGCGAACCCACATCTTTTCCAGAGCGGTGATGTAGGACTTGGAGGTCTCCTCATGAAGCAGGTAGGCTGCCATGAACTTGGTGCCAACATCAACTATGCTCAGCACTGCAAACTTGCGGTCTGCTGGCTTGAGGTAGAAAACGTCAGCCTGAATCACTTCGTTGAAGGTCTTGGGCTGTGGCATGGATGATGGAGCAACCTGGTTGGGCTTCTTGTGCTTCAGACATGCCACACACTTGTACTCCTTGGCAGCGGCGATCACAGTGGGATGAGCTCCTCTGGCGGTCAACAGATCAGCCAGAGCATCAGGTGCCGGATGGCCAAGGTTTCGGTGTAGCCGTTGCACCGTTCGAAGAGCATCTTGTCGGTGTTCAGACTTGAGCTTGAGGAGGTGTCCGGTCTCTTTCTTGCCAGTTTCATCGACCACATAGGCGGTGTCCCACAGTTGAGCGGTCTCAGGACGAGCCAAGGCAGCAGCCAGTGTCGCTGCAAAGCCAGGTTGGTAGTCTTCCAAGTAGGTGGTCCGGCGGCCATAGCCAGGAGCAGAACCTTCCAAGGGGCAGTGGTAGTGGTCATGGTCACACTTCAGCTGGAAGGCCTCTAAAACAGCCTGCTTTGTGGTCAACAGGCGAGTGCTCTTTTGGACAGGTCGCCAGATGCCGTCGGTGTCCATGCACATTGCTCCATAGCGGCATTGGTCGAAGTCGGCATAGTAACCAGGAAGATCTCGGAGAGCCATCGTGTTCCAGCTCAAGGCATGTCGGGGCTGCTCCAAGTGGGCATGCCGTGCATTGGTCACCTGTCGTAGGTAGATGCGCTTGGCAAAGCAGAGATGGCGACGATGGTGGTGCTCACGTCGAGCCTTCAAGGCTTCTTGCTGTGCAGGGGTGCGACAAGCCAAGGTTTGCATTCTTGACCACAGGCGGCATTCTGGTGCCACCAGCACTTCATCAGGTTCTTCTTCATCAAGTCGTTGGAGTAGCTGTTGTTGATGGCTGATGAGGTTGAAGTCCCAGCCATTGTCCAAAGAAAATCTTTCCACCTTCATGCCAAGCTCCTCTGCGATGTGGCCAGTGCGAGCTTTGCCGCAATAGATTTCCCAGAGAACTCGTCGATGGTCGGGAGGATTGTGAAGCTCCTGAGTGATATAGGCTTCGGTGGAGTTTGAGGTAGTGACCAACTGAGTCTCCATGGTTCGAAGGGCATGTCGATGAAGGCGAGTGGATTGCAATTCGCCACCTGCTAGAGCCACATCTTCAGCCTGAAACACATGTTCGAGCTTGTTAAAGTCCTCGAAGTGGAGATGGCTGCCAGGTGTTTCCTCAGCAATGCGAAGGCTGAATAGGGTTTTCGTGGGATCAGGTACTTCCTCCATGCCAGTGGTGAGGCTCAACAAGTACTCGCCATGGCGGCCCACAAGCACTGAGGTCCAAGGCGATTGCCCAAAGCGAATGCGCTTCTGGCTGAAGTCGATGCCCATGTGCAGAGCCTCAATCACAGGTCGGCCCATCAACATTGGCGTGTTGCCAGGAACCAGGTAGCATTGGATCGTGCCGAACTGGCCATCGATCATCACCGGGAGATCCACTGTCCATGAAGCTCGTGAGGATGCATCGCCACCAAAATGGAACTGGCGGTCACATCGAGCAAAGCGGATGGTGTTGATGGGGTAGTTCATGGAGTGCAAGTGGCTCAAATAGCGGCCGAATGGACCATATCCGCACAGGAAGGCAGATGCACCTGGGTCAAGCATGGTGGCATCCGGTCGGTCGGTGCCCATCTCATCCTGGAACAGGACCAAGGCGGTCTCATTCTGCAAGGCCATACCCTCAGTGGGTGCAGGTCTCTTGTTGGACGATGAGGGTGATTTCGCACCTTGTGGACATTGCGCTGCCCAATGACCTGGTTGGCCACAACGAAGGCATGTAGTTGCCTTTGCACGACCTTTTGGATCAGCCTTTCCACCTGAGGAGGGTGGATAGCGCACCACATTCTTTCCTTTTCCTTTGCTTTTGCTCTTGCCCTTTCCTTTGTTCTTGCCGGCGCCCTTCGAAGGTGAAGAGGATCCAGAGGCGGGCGAAGCGTTCTGGCCATCAGTGAGGGCGACGATCGGCAGGTAGCCACGAGCCAACTTGAGCTGCTGGAATCTTTGCCGGGCATCCAAGTAGGTGGCATAGGCGTGGTCATACTCTTCGGCCAACTCTTGAGGATCTTCGGACAGGCCATGGTGTTCTCCAGGTTCATCCTCTTCGCCGTAGTAGATGGCGTCATAGTCAAAGTCAGCCTCATCGTCAGGGGCAGTGTCATCATACCAGTCGTCGGCCTCATAGTAGGCGTCTTCTGTCCAGGGTTGCTCGGACCAGTAGGCATCTTCTTCATCGAATGCGGCGTAGCCGCGGCCCTTCCAGCGGTTGAACTTTCGATCACGTTCAGCATTCCAGCCGCCTGCTTTGTAGTCCTGACCGAACAGCAGATACAGGGCTTCGATGACAGGATTCTTTTCCAACGTAGGAGCCTTCAGCGTCACCATTTGGCGTTGCTCCTTTGACAAAGCAGCACGTCGGAGTAGATGCCATCCTTGAACCTGGACTGGAAGAGTCACGTTGTGGGCAGTCAAACGACGATAGGCGGTGTCATGGTCGGTGACGAAGGACAGGAGGCTTTGCTGTGGCTTCCTTTGCAACAAGTTGAAGTACTCCTCAAAGTCATTCGGAAGGAGCACACGATCGTCATACTCGAAGTTCTTGTCGAGCTTGGTGATGATCTTGCTGAAGCCATCCTCTTTCTCAGCCTCTTCAACTGAGAAGTCCTCGAACAACCGCCACGTCACACCCTGAAAACTTCCCAGGATGTTCAGGACGGACTCGGCTGAGCGCTTGCTGATCTTCATCTTGTGGTGGTAGAGCATCAGCCTCTTTCTGTACTCTTTGTAGTCCTGGGGTTGTCCTCTGAACAGTGGAACGAAGGAGTCGCGCAGGTTGAGGTAGTCACCATCCTTGGAACCTTCTGCAGCCGATGTCGTTGGTGGCATTCTCAAACAAGTAGCCAAGACCGAAAGGGCTCTTCAACGAGGAAACAAAAGAGCTCGGCCAAGGGTTCGTGACAAAGGACTTATGCAGAACCTCGTTCTTCTTCGCGCAAAGGACTCGGAGCCCCCCGGAGGAGGCTCCGCTACCAATGCGAAAAAGGTAGCAGCGGCACCCGAAGTCCGCAAACACGAAAACAAGAGGGCGCACTGAAGCGCCGCGGCCGCGCCTTTTGCAAGGCAACTGCCCTCCCAGTCTTGAGAGGGAACGACGGTAAGTGAAGGTCGAAAACAGTTCGAACTGCCGAAACACAAGTGCACAGCGTGAACTTTACACACCTAAACTTCCAGCGGCAAGTTGCATGCCAAGCCAATAGACTGAAAGGTCCCACCGATGTGGTGTTTCTTGGCTGGTCGCGCCGCAGCAGAAGGATCAGTCAAGGTTGACCAAAGAGACCGAGCCTTGCAGAGTTTATCTCAGTAAGGGGGCAGGGCTCAAGAGAATCCCGTCTTCGTCAACTCGTTGGGTTTCAACTCGGAAAATAGGAGTCAGTGGGATCTTCCTCATCTCAAGTAAAGGTCTGTCAAGGTGATAACATGTTATAAACAGAAGGATCTTAAACCACCACCCAGAAAAGGAGCTGGCATAAGTTGGCATAAAGGTTCCGTTGGCTGGATAGAAACGACGACGACGTCCCATACATTCCTAGGATCGCGGCTTGGGAGGTCCGCCAATGGTACGAAACTCTCCAGTCGATCCTTCCACCGAGTGCAGCCTGCGGGGCCAGATTCATCACCTGGTTGATAAAAGTTGGCAATGCTTCGCCTGAAGACGTCGCGGGCCGCGAAGCAAAACAAATGGAGAGTGGACAATCAATCCATTTCATTTCCTTGTGACCCATCTACCCTCCCACAAGGGGTGACCCCAGGGAAGGTGGGGGTTGCTGCATGTATGGCAGCCGTTCAGAAGGGTCTGAACCCAAAGAAATGACAAGCTTCTGCTGACGATCAGTGGGAATGACCTTCGAGATACCGAGCCTTACTACTTAACAAAGCTTGTCAAACTGAGAGCTTAAGGGCAACAAACTCAAACTCCCAGGGCGAAGACCGAATGACAAGTCTGGCTGAAGCTGCGATCAAACTTCCAGCCAAAAAAGGATATCAAAGGATCAAGGGGCCAGCTTCACACAAGCCTGTGGGCCTGCAAATGTCATGCCAACTGAATCGGCCAGAAACGCTCAGTTTGAGCACCCGACCGTATCACGGCATCACGTTCTGCGACCCCATCTTCCCTGCTCTTCTGCGCGTCGCGTGCGCGTCGCAAATGCGCGTCCACACGCCTGGGGTCTGAGAGGTAGTGCATCCTTTGCAGTTGACTCAAAGGACCGAGCCTGAGTAAGGACAGCCACATCCAGCCACTGAAAACCAGCGATGGTCTGAGTCTGGCTACTAGTACTGGCCTCCAACCTACTGGCGATGGCCTCCCCTTCGCCCATGCTTCTGCTTTACAGCCTCTTGTCACTCTTGTCCTTCATAAAGGTTGGAGTTTGGGGTGCCATTTGAGGTTGTCAGACGGTGCATGCATCTATCTTCCCATCCGCCAAAGATCACAAATGAAGAACCATGGGCCTGACAATGTGCCACTGGAACATGGGTGGGGGGTGCAATCCGTAAATGTTGCCATGCTGCAGTTTACAAAAAAATCCGAGGCCCCTTGCATTGAGGGTTGCATTAACACTTCCAGTGTCTTCCTCAACAACCCATAATGCCATAATACAGGAATCTTGAAGGAATCATTCTGTTTCGCAGCACCCATGATCATGCCACTTGGTTTCCAGCATGCGCTCGAACGCCGCACGCTTGAGAAAAAGCACCTGGAGAGTGTTGGGCGAGCGGGGAGCAGCACTGCTGACAACAGACTGCAGACCATTTGTGGCGCATCTGTTCAGACACATGTTTGGCGGTGAAAGAGGATGAAAGAAGTTCTACTTGGGTGCTTCAAAGAGACGCTCCCACCAAGGTGGGTCGACGAAAGCCGAAAGTCAGTTCCGTCTGACCTGCTCCAACGCGGAGGAAGCCCTCCCAAGCGTTGGTTGGAAGTCAGGGATGTGGGGAACTGAAAGAAGTCAACTCACGGGTGGGCACCCGTACCCCCGAAAACAAAGAAAAACAGAGAAATTCATCATAAACGTATAGTGGATTGAGAGGACCAATGCCACAGACCTCAATGTCGGTGGTTTATATGAACCCCCCCATGTTTTCAGGACATCTTGAGGTCGCCATCTGACACCTCCGACCGACCTGGGCCAGACCCTTCCGACCTCCACATGGGTCACCGCGGTCACCGAGGCGGAGCGCCGGGTATTCTCCAGCAGCGCCTGGCGGCCGAACTGATCCCAGCTGTATCTGATCAATGTACCTAGTTACCTAGTGATAACCTGTTTCCCTAGGCATGTGATAAGTGATCACTGCCTAGTGATTACCTAGTTACTACCTAGTTCCCCTGGTTGTGGGAGGAACTACATACATGCCAAGATCTGATTGAAACAGAGGCTCAATGGCTTCGATCGTCGATGGGCTGTTCAACCTCTCTAGGTCAAACAATACGCTTTCACCAAGGGTCGAGTATCGGAGGCAACCGCGGCAACCGGTTGGCCGTCTGGGTCACCTCGCTCGTTTGGGTTTCCGGCAGAGGCCGGAAGGCCCAGGCCCAAACAAGACTCAAAAGAGGGAGCGGTGCGAAGTAAAGTGATGCACTTGTTCCTAGTAACCAGTACAAGTGGCTATGCCATGCTATGCCCTTTGTTACTAGTTACTAGTAGCTTCTGGCTATGCAGTAGTAGTGCCCAATTCTGACTATACACTTGTTACTGATAGCGGTGCCCTTGACCCTGGTCTCTTTTTGTCCATCCTTAGGTCCTTGTGCTCTTGCACATGGTTTTGGGGCATCTTTGGGAGCCGCAGTTGTGCGTTGCTCGGTTCGTGATGAAAAGAAGGAGGGACCAAAGAGTCGCTGAGTCGCAGAGAGCCCAGATCCACTCAGCGACTAGTATCTTTAGATAATGATAGATGTCCTTCCCCCCTTGTGATAGATTTGCTTCTCCCACTCCGATCTGCGAAGCCCCGGCTCTAAGGCAATTTTCGAGAATTGAACATTGACAGAGCCCGCAACTTGGCTTAAATCCTGGAGCCCGTGGGTGGTTCGACCCAACACAACAAATCCCATTTGAGCCTGCTCCCCGCGGCCCTTTTTGGCCACAACCGCCCGACCGAGTCGAGCGAGTCGACCTGAGGCGGCCGAGTCGACGGGCCTTCTCGCCAAACATATCCCCTGCATGAATTCGCCGGTGCTCCTGAGTATGATCACGCAGTTGTCTCGGCCGGGGCTGGCGTGACGTGACGAAGCTTCCAGTTGTTTTGGCAAGCTCCCGATCCTTCAAGCCGACATCTGCAGAAAGACATGTTCAACTTGGCTTAGCCTAATAATGGCGTCCCAGGCAGGAATTGATCTCCGCTCCTGGATGTCAATGTCTCCGGCAGTTCCAGTCTTCACAGTCACGACCTCAGCAAACCAACTCCCACATGCAACGCGCAAGGGCCGTGGTCACACCAACTCAGGCCAAGGCCAGTGCACGCAATATCATCAAGTGAGGCTGACCATTTTGGTGCAAAGGGAAGAACTTCAATACCCAGACCCTCCATGTATGGAGTGTATGCCTACATTGGGGTGGTTTGGGGAGTCAATGTAGGCATACATGGCATACATGGAGCGTTTGGGATAGACTATTCCCACTACTCTCACCCCTTTTTCCTCGCACGTGACCAACCTTTGACCTGCGGCATCGGCGTGGTTTTTTCCGACAAACCTGATTCATCCTGCGTCAAGAACCATGGTTGCATACAGTAAAACCCTACAGACGTCAAAACGTTGGCCTTGCCCGGAACATGCTTACTTGCTTGCGAAGTATGTGGCAGGCGCGGCACAGGCCTGGCCGCAACACGACACCCCCTGCGGTGCAACATCGCTAGACAGTGAATTGTGCATGTTCTCTGCGGTGTATTGCTGGACGTCTCAATACATATCCTAGAGTCCTAGAGGGTGGCACATCGTGAAAAGAGAAGAACTGGTGCAGCTTGAAGACGTTTTTGCTCAAGCAATTCGAGCTCGGGTAGTATAAGAATGCTGAAAATACCTTTCAGCAGAAAGAAACACGACTTCAGCGACTTCCACCAAACGAAGCCTCTCCCCTGTAACACTTGAACAATTTCTTGTTCAATCTGCAATCTCAGGTTTGCCTTTGAAAAAGGCCATCATTGACATTGGCGGGTGAGCAAGATGAGCTGATATCACTGATATCCCTCTCGAGTGTCTTCACATATATATATATATACAGTAGTTACTTTGCACCAACATGATCCCTGGAAAACCGCCATCGAAGGCATTGGTCCCTCACTGGCCACGGACTGAGGCTGCTGACACACGTGCCCTCGAGAATGACATAAAGCCTGAGAAGAACGGTTGGGCTCCAGCCCTAACGACGACGCATCTCCTTGCAAGCTGATTGACCAAAACTGCCAAGATGTGAAAATTGGAATCCTCTTGACTGTCAGGTTGAAAGTTGAACCTCAAATCCGAAAACAGCAATCTGCTAGCCCGCAGCAAGTCCACATCTGCAGCCAAGGGGCTTGTCTCCGCGCTCGCCTTGCGTGACAATATCCTGCCACCAAGCATGGGTGCGAGGAGACCACCATGAACCAAGTATCCAATCTACATTGTATGATCTACGAGTCAATGAACTATTCCATGTACTACCGTGCCCATTTTCATCATCTGAGGCACAAAAATGCGAACAAACTCCAGGTGAACCGCCTCATCTGGATCGTATTGCTCAGTCTGCAGCCTGAGACAAAATTGATCGGCTACAGAATGATCGGCTCTTGCAGCACACCTTTTGGGGGGCCACTTGCGTTTACATCCAAAAATGCATGATTGGCAACAAATAATTGCATCGACATGTTGTTAACGTTACAACGTGCTACTTCCGCAAATTGCATCGCCTACACATGATACATGATCTAGCACTTCTTCCAAATTGCAGCATGCAATATCATGCAACCGCAGTTTCACAGCGGAACCGCGACGGCACCGTCTCACTTACATGGGAAGTGCATATTTACTTTACTCTCAGATCAAATGCTCGCCGGTGTCACGAACGAAAACCAACCAAAGAAAAAGGCAAATAACATGCGAGTACCAAGGATTTGCAGCAAGTGCAAGCAATTGCGCGGAGGGCTAAAGACATTTCTCCAGCAGCTCTCTCATGGCGTTCTTAGCCATCAGCGTCATGAGCAGCAGCAGCTGCTACACATCGACGGCTGCTTGGGCACGGATGGGTCCTGATTGTCATGGTGCTGGACCACAAAAGCCACCAAGGGCACATTGTCTGTCGCCCAGCGGTTGTAGCGCATGATGACGGTGCGGCCGCCTTTTTTGCGCTTCCCCGTGCTGGTGACATAGTTCTTCTTCTCCTTGTATGTGACACCGAAACAAAAGCACCCATATTTCAGCCCATGTGCCATGTTCTGCGCGAAGTCAGCCAGGTCAGCGCTGTCAAGGTATGCAAACCACAGCAACATGCGCCAGTTCTCCGCCTGAGGATGAAAGCGCACAATGCCATTCGCTGATGCCGTGAAGATATAAAGCGGCGTCTTCGGATCATCTGGCGCCATACTCAGAATCCTCTTGACGCTGATCCAGTTGTTCGCGTATGGCTCCACGTTCTCTCGGCGAAGCTGGAATTGCAAATATTCACCCTGGCCCAACTTGTGCGGTTGGATTTGGGTAGAGCCGCAACAAGACTCCTTGTCTTCCTGATGCGGCTTTCCTCGGGCCTTCCTGTCTGCCTCGAAAGATTTCAGCTCTTGAATCTCGGCCTCTGTGAACTTTTGGCTTCCATCATCGATCCCAGCATAGGTGGACTTGGTCTTTGCATGACTTGGCCCGCTGCCAAGCTCGAAAGTACCCATGAAGTCAGCCTCGTCAAAAATCATCTTGGAAAAACCATAGTTTTCAATGGGAACCATGTCAACCACACCCACGAAATCAGCAAAGGTTGGATGTTCAAGGACCCCCTCTAATTCAATCTCCCAACCAGCTTCCTCCAGAAGCCACTTTTCGGTGAAGCTCTTGTGATCCTGGCCATGCACTTTCTGAAACTGCTCAGCAAAGAGATTGAGTCCATTCTCTTCATTGAGCCTGTGCTGCTCCACATAGTCAAAGACTGAATCTTCGCAATCGCTGTACTGCACTTTGGCAGACTCATCATGAAAGACGTGGACGGGCACTCGGCGCACAACTTCACTTTGCAAAGCCTTGTAGTTCTTGTAGTGCCCCTTCTCGATCGCCAGCTCTTGGATCAATTTGACCATGCGCTCTGCATCAGCAGCCTTCTCTGCACTGTTGGCTGGCATGACGCACAATGTGGCTGGCGACAGTTCAAGTTCGGGAAAACTTGGATCTTGAGCCCAAATCGGAGGGCTGGCCCCCAATGGATCGCTCCGAGCACTTCAAGGCGATCCAAAACAGAAGGAAACAACATCAAACAGAATATGAACAGTTTCTGACATGCTTTGTTGCCGAAAATGCCCAGACTCATGTTCCACTTGCCAGCCGAACACCGCAAAAAGACCGAACACATCCGACCCCAGGGCGATCCCAACCCGTACCGCCGCCCTCTGAGCTCTTCCCACGCATCGGCGATCTGTGCAATCTGCTCGTCGCTCAAGGTTTCCAGTACCGGGGCTCTTCGTAGGTAGTCCTCGGGGTTGGAAGTGAGGAAGTGATGCAGCTCGCTATTGGGTTGGAGGCCATCACTAGTAGGTTGGAGGCCATCGCTAGAAGGTTGGACCCATCATGGCACCAGCTTACCGTGGCTGACACCATGGCTGCCCGGCACCATAGGCACCCAAATGGTCGTTCGCGAATTAAATGTATAAGGTACGAGAGTATGTGATGTTCTCACCTGTTCAAATTGGAGCGCACCAGTTCAAACGGTAAAAATAGGCTGTCGGTTCGGTCCCCTAAGTTCAATCGTTTTCTTGGATCACTGCATCTCGTCAGCACCCAACCAAATGGACACCTACATTGCCAAATTGGTCAACCAGGTAATCCTTCCTTATACCTTTGCGCGTTCTTGGCACGCACGCACAACACAAAAAGACTTTTCCCCGGGCGCACTTCCGCTGAGACGAAAAAAGACCTCTGGTTCACCACTGTTTGAGGATGTCTGAACCGAACCCCCCAAGGGCCGTCAAGGGCCAAATCCCCCCGAAATCCGGCGTTGGCTTGCGAAGAATTTGGGAATACGGAATGCAGAAAAGTGCTCTGAACGTTAAATTCCAATTCAAAACTGACCTCTACAGTGCAGGAAGGCATCTGCAGCAAAAAAAATTGAAAATTTTGATAGAGCATTTTAGAGCTAAACAGCTAAACTTGTTTATTCATTCCATTTCATTCCTATTTCCACTTGAAATGCTAGGATAGCAACCCACGCTGTTTCCTGGCCTCTCTGCGACTGCGCTCTTTGATCTCGCTGCGCACCACCAGGTCGTGGTAGGCCTGGAAGGGCTATCATGTAGGCTCTTGATGTATAAAACCCCAGACATGGATGCCACCTGCGAATCCTCGCACCCACACTGACGTTTGCCATGTTGTATGGCGGGTTCATGTGGGCTAAACCAAGTACAAAACCCCAGACATGGATTGAAAAACCTCTTTCGGCAGGGGGTAAACATGGTTGAAATCGTACCGTAAAGATGATACACCTTCAAGTTGGGCTCCAAAAGGTGGCTTCCCCTTGGAAGCCACGATACAACGATCTTAAAATACTTTAGAATGATATATATATATATATATGTTGGACTTCGAAACTCCAGCATCGGCACAGAACCTGCGGTGGAACGCACAGAACCTCCACTGTGCATGATTCCAGTCTCATTCTGAAAGGGATGTCCACCAGTCTCATCCGGTGATGATGTTGCGGTCGGCCGGAGCGGCCGTGCCTCGCGGTACAAAATGCCCAGTGTGGCTGGACCTCTCTCATCCACGTACCTCGAACGAGCGCATGTTTTGGCCGCGGGGGTTGGGTCACCGCCAGCATGTGAGCCATCGGCTTTTGGTGTTTTCAGAGCGCGGAAGTCAAAGAAACCAAAGAAACGCAGACTGAGACATAATACTACAGTACCTGAAAACCTTAGCATGGAAGTAGAAGTTGTAATTCTGTGTGGTATCTATTGGAATTTGGGTAAGCAGGGGTAGGCAATTATAGTTGGAATACCTCGCTCCAAGTTCCATCCACGAATCCTCTGCGAAAATGCCCCCATATACATTCTTCCAATCATTCTGAATCGCACTCCGTTCACACGGCGGACACCTCTCCATGTCACGATGGTTTAAAACCGTGTGCCTTCTCCACCAAGACGGGGCTCCGCCTCAATCCTCAAACTTCGGTGCTTCCTATCGTTTCCCCATTCCCAACCCTCGAGACGAAAGAAGGGGTAGACTGAAGGTGTTCGATGAGTCCTTCGATGAGTCCTTGAGCCCAATAGTAGTAGGAACATGTACATGGTGAGCCTGTGACACGTGAAACCACATGGCACGATTCCGGTGCCATGAGGCACTTTCTTGGTCCATCCGGCTTCAGCGAGTCTCCGCGGTGGGCGGCGCACACGCTCCGTGTGCGTGGGGTCCGCCAAAGCATCGAACCCTCGCCGAAGAAGCTGCCAGCACCCAGGCTTCTGACGAAGATCTCGGTGGAAGCGCGCCCTTTGTGCGAAAAACACGAGAGGACTCAGCATACTGTGTCATTCATTTACTCGGAAAGGTGATGCAACCTGCAGAACTGTCCAGCCTCTAACTGTCCAGCCCTTAGACTTCCACCCTTGGAACTAGAAAAAGAACAATCGCGACGGTCCAACCGAGGCTAATCACTAGGTCCAAATTGCACCTGCAATCCCAGCCCAAGTACTTGTCAACAGATGCATCAATCAGGATCCGTTAATATCCATGTCGCCTTGGTGCTCAAAGGGCACCTGCGACTCTGAGCAGCACACTCGCTCTTCATGTGCACGCTCCTGCTTGGAATGTTCCAGCTGTCTCAGACACCAAAAAGGACCCGTCGTCGACGTCGCTCTTCACCGAACCCATCCACAGTGGTCGTTCGAACGCCACAAAAACGGCATCTGCAGGCGATGTGCTACCCATGTGGCTCACCTGCCTTGATAGTTCGAGCGACCTCCCTAGCAACACGAGACCCCGTCCTTGAAGACCGAAACACTCCCAGAAAGGATCACATAGGCACAATCCTCAGCGAGGAGCGATCCCTCCACGTGTTTTTTTCTCACCTATAGCTCACCTGTCCTGAAAACACCGCTTGGGACCCTGGTTGAGCCAAGAAAAAAAAGGCGCAACATGGTCAAACTGAATCCTGCATCCAGCAGGTCTCCTTTTTTTGCGGGTTGTTGGGCGGTGACCCATAGAGTCGGGTGCTGGTTTATGAGATCTCGGCGAAGGGCTTTGAAGCGAAGCGAACCAGCGTTTTGACACACCTCCGAGGGCCAGGTGTGTGGACCTTCCTGGGTGAGGGGTCCAAGACTCAGAAATGCCGAGTGGAGGCCACACCGAGCTGCCCTGTTCCACAAACACCTTGAGCATCCGAACACCTTGAGCATCTTGTTGACACACCTGCTGACCTGGAAGGCTTTTCTCTGGAGCGGTTAGGCTCGAGAGTTGTGACATCTCTTAGCCGGTGTCCCGAACATGGCAAAACTTGGCAGCTTTAGTTCATAATTCATAGTTTGCTCTCACTTGAAGGTGGGACGATTCTCGCATTCGTCTTTACCAATGCAGTCGCTGTCTTCAATAAGCTTCATGTTTCCTTCTGCTACTCAGATGGGCACATCCCTTTAATCTTAGGACAAGTCTGACATTGAGACTGCTTTTCTAGCAGCTGGACATCTCCCATCTCGCGACTCTGGCTGCCCATCTCGCGCCTGGCCGAAACTCTTGCACCTCCATGGCATCGACCTCAGGGCGGTGCAGCTCCTCGACGAAAAGCGCGCCCGATCAGCGGTGGACCCGGGATTCGCTGAGAAGGTGGATCAAACCAAGTCCCGAACTGTGAAAACTGGTGATGTCTGTGGAACTGAGCAGAGACTGACTGAGACTCAATGGGGTGTGTCCATGAAAGATGCAGCAAACCACCGATTCGCCATTCCGTCTCCCTCGCTGGTCCGACCGGTCGCTGCCCAGTGGCGAGGCTGTCGAGAGTTGCATGGCCCACTTGTTGGGTGAAAGGGCATTTGTCGCTCCTGACGGGGCGGTCGCGGTGACCTAGCCGGGCCAAGTCTCGGGTCCGCCGAGTCCATGGCAGACCGAAGTCACATGGTGCTTTCTGGTGCAGGTCCCTTGCCTGAGCTGAGGGATGCCGAGGAACCAAACCTCACCTGACCAAGAATTCCCAATGAACAGATGTAAATGGCCCGCAGATGTCTGACCTGAATATGGTAGCAATCCCGTTGGAAAGAGGGTCGCAACCCACCAATAAAGTCTCCAAATCTCATTTTCAATCCTCGTTCAAATAATGTTTCATCATCTTCCATCACAGTCCTGTCACATCTGAATTCACAAGATATAGACCGTTTGGACAAATAATTCCCGCTGGTTCCCGCATGCTACACAGCGACAAGATGCGACAAGCATGCCCGAAAGAAACGAAATGAATCCACGGACCCGAATGCTAGCAAGCAAATTGAAAACCTCATTCTGTGTGACATTCTTGCAGGACATTCCTTCCAATGCAGCTCGTTTCAATCGTTTTTCATGTTTTTCCACGCGACGACACGTCACTCCGGGGGCCGTGCGTTCGCCCGCTCCCCCCAAAACGCTTCAGTCGCGGTGGACGAAACCAAGCCGCGCGATGGGTGACACGAACGGTTGGGCGTTCCAGCAGGGACCTGACCCTCCCAGGTGGAGCAGTGGAACTGGAGGAACGTCGGGTCTGGAGTCGGGTCTGGAGTCAGGGCCACCCAGACCAAGGGGCATGGAGGGTCCTGAAATCCGCCCACACCGCTTGTCGGTGCAGGGCGTGCTATGGGGCTCTCTAAGCTCTGCTGCTATGCAAATAGCTTTGCTAGGGGGGGCGTGCACACGGCTATGGTTGGGCTGCAGGGCCACTGGGGAGAGCGTTTTGGAGGTACATTTGATGTTTCGTTACGTCGTGCTTGCAGGGCCACTGGGGAGAGCGTTTTGGAGGAGTTTTTGTGTTTTGAGCTGGTTGCTGCGTTGATTCTTGCTCGGCTGCAGGGCCACTGGGGAGAGCGTTTTGGAGGTGTATTTTTTGATGGCTTTTGGCAAGGCCGAAGTTGTATCACCATTAATTATGGGCCCCAAGGTAGACGAAGTTGGCCCCAAGATGGCTCCAACGCAGCCGTAAGACAGCCAACCTGGCGCCTAGATGGCTGCACTTGTCCCCAACCTGGCGCCTAGATGGCTGCACTTGTCCCCAACCTGGCGCCTAGATGGCTACTTCCATTTCACTAACTTCGGCAGTTCGTGCGCGGTGTGGGCGGCTGTCGGCGCGAAGCGTCTTGAACACGTCATGTGCTTGCCAGAACGAGGAGACTTGAGTTCCACGAGAACCCTGGGAACCGCCCGAATTCAGAACATGAAGAATCCAATACTCGTCCGGTCTGCAGACTTCCCCATTGAATATCCCTGAATGGGGCAGCCCCCCTCCCATGCAACAGTTTACACATAGTCAGCTCCAGATTGTGATTTACATTATATACCTTTTCCCTTTGGGTCTTTCCTTGTCCGTTTCCTTTTCCTTTCCTGCTCATTCCTTTTGAGTACTGTATGACTACTATCATGCCAGTGTGGAGGACAAGAATAGACAAGAACTATCCAAAACTGTCCACACTTGCAATGTTTTCACTGCTCCTCATCACTTTCTTCAAACCCTTGGCTTGCTGTGTGCTCTTCTCTTTGCTTGGCCACGACCTTGGTAGACACGGAGGAAAAGGCGTGCGTGGGTCCCACGCTTCGAGCCGTAGTAGACGCACATGATCGATTGTGATTGATTGATTTACGCCGGATGGTGTAAAACAGAGGCATGGACGGGCCCTATCGTCTTCACCACGGCGGTTCACGGAGGTGGGCTCATGGAGCACCGAGTCCGAGCTCCCCTGGCTTGCTGGATGTGAAGTGGTTCCACGCCCCTTTGGCCTGGCATCGTCTCGGACTCGCATGGGCCGAAGGCGGCCGAAGTGGTCAATACCAGGTGCTTCCAACCGGTCACCAATGGGCAACCCTAAATAAACCTGCCATACCCGACCTATAGGTATCCATTGGGCACCCATTGGAAGTGCTAGGTAGCTCATATTCATCAATTGTCAACTAATGCACCGATTCGCATTGCAAGAAGTGAAGCGATGAAGCGATTCGCCACCCAACCTTCTCGGACGGGCAAAACAAAGCGGCTGGCAAATGCCAGATCCTTTCGTGAAAACCCTGAAGCGTCCAGTCGGCGTTGTTCGGGTTCCCAAGTCCCAGAGGGGCCCTGCGCCTCAGCTGAGACCCCCCCACGCCTGAGACAGGCGAGTTCGGTCACACACGTTATGTGGTTTGGTGTAACTGTGTGGCTCTCTATGTGAGAGTAAAGAGGAGACGATCGTTAAGAGGAGACTTCAATCTGTCCTATATGTGGCTCTCTATAGTCTCACCTTTAGGATAGACTATAGAGTATGTAGATTGATGTTTGAATGTCAATTCGCTCCGCTGTCCCGTCGCAAAAAAATACTGCCCAGAAATCTGCCCATCGCACAAGACGCTCAGAAGGTCTCTTCTTCAATGACCATGTCACATGTCGATGGTTGCACTCCCCAAACCCCCGAAACCACAAACAAGCCATGCTAAAGTAGATGTAGCTGGAATCATTTCTCAAGAAGATGAGGGAAAGCAAGCATTTTTGGTCTGGTAGAACAGCTCATACTTACTCAGAATGCAAGCTGGATGAACCCGTTGGATGAACCCGTTCTTCTCTGAGTCCCCAAACCGTAGGTGAAGAACGCTTCTGATCTCCTTCGAACAAGCCATCTTTCTGCTCCGAACCGTCTGGTGAAACAAACCGCACGGCTCCCACCGGTTCCGACTGGTTTCTCCTACCTGGCAAAGACACAAGTGCTTCCGGCCAAGGCAAACCATGTTCAAAACACGAGTGACATCTGGAATCCGGTTCCATGTTAAGACAAAATTAGATTGAAGACATCGGCATGTGTCATCAGAATGAGAAGTTTTCTTATGATGTGCCTTCTAGACCAATTTTAGGGCAATGGTAATCCAAAAGGAGCCAAAAGATCCAGGCAGCTGGCGCTCTAAAACATTCTAAAACCAAGAATCGGAGAAGAAAAACGGCAGTACCTAGCAGTACTGCCCAGACCTAGACTCTCGACCACAAGGATGCACGAGGACACAGTGGAGTGCTCAAATTAAACTCAAGCGAAAGCCCAAAGCAAACCCCCGTGGCTCCAAAAAATCAAAAAATGTGAAGAAGCAGAGTAATCCCCCTTGTGCCTTGCCCTCCTTTTCAAAGCCTCCCCGCAGCAGGTTTTTCCGCGTCGTCTCCTCCTCAAAGCCCTCACTGAAGGATGTTTCAGCTTCATCTCCTTCGTCCTCACCAATTGGGAGGAGGTACCAAATTGGAAGGCACGAAGCGCGAAAAACATGAGTATCATGAGTCAACAAGTCGCCTCTCGAAAAAGACCAGCAGTTCCTGAAAGAGTTGCTGGAAAGTAGGGGTGTGAAATCATCCACTTAATCACCTAAAACATCCTAACCACAGTTGTGGAACTTGCCAAGCCCAGTTGATCACAAGCCGATGTCCAACCATGCGCTACCATTCGTGAGGCTCTCTTTATTCAAGTCATCAGCTCGAACTAAGTACATCAGTTGAAAAAAGCAGGGTGCGCGCCCCGCTTGCGCGCCCCATCACTGCAAAGGTTTTAACCTTGCTTTGTGCATGTGAGGTCCCCCGCATCTCGGCCGCTCCGCGCCTGTGATTCGTGGTCCGGCGCCTCCGTCTCCGCCAAACTGGCCTCCGTTTCCGTGTCGGAGGTCGAGGTCGCTGATGAAAGCTGTCCGTGGGTGACCCGGGGTGGCCTCCAAACCACCATCTGAACCCTAGAATGCTCCTGAGCTTGGAAAACTCTTGGAAGCCACAGGGTATACCGCATCGTGTGCTTGCACTTTTAACTGAGCTGTGTGGTTGTACTATGTTGTACTGTGGGCCCCAAAAACACATGCGGCCTTGAGCCAAACACACAGTCAAGCAGTAGGCAACATGTAGCCAAACTATCGTGGGCTATCCTCGAGGTCCATGCGGCTTCCAGCAAGAGATTCGATTCATTTCTCGCGAATCAATCACCGCTTCTTGGGATGAATGGCTCATTCCCAACCATACGCAACGAAGATTTATATACCGTGGCATTGAGGGAGGGGTGGGGCTGATTAGCCACCTGTACCTGCGTGACTTGAGACCACGACTGGTCCCTGCTTCTTGTTAGAACACGACCTCTTTCTTGGCCTGGGTTCGTTTCTGTGCTCATGAACGAGCGGCCGACCCCCTTCGAAACGTTGCCGTGAGTTGAACTTGAAGGGTTTGAACTCGCAGGATTTGAAGTTCCTTTCTTTGCAGGATCAAGACCACCTTACATGTGTGTGTGCATGTTCATCTTCAACCAAGCGGCATTCTGGCAACACTATCCATTTCAATTCACCAAGTCTCCGAGTGCCTTGACTAGACCAGGTTCATATAGACTAGTGAGTGACTCACACGGTGGCATAGACCCCAGACAGTGGAGCCGAAGGCATAGACTAGTGACTCACACGGTGGCATAGGAGCACCCTCCAGTACCCGGTGGCTCGGTGCACACAGCGGCATCATCGAAAACCCGAAAAAGCACCCGGAGCGGTGCCTTCAGCACCCAAGCGCACCCTTAATTATAGCGCACACAAGCAGCTGTACTCCATCCTCTTCCTGCACTTGAAGTAGGAACCCCAATAGCTCATGCTCTCTGGGGAAAGGAAAGACCAGGGCACTCCGGCGCCGCATTTGGGCACCTGGTGAAGCTCCGAATGAATGGACACATGCGACCCCCTTCGTCTCGACCCTCTCACGTCTCCAGGGGACCGGATGTCCGGCCTCTCGGCTCAAACGCAAAGATGGAGAGAACCTCAGTGATAGATGGATGGGTTGAAGGGAATAAGTCAACCAGGAAACCAGGGTTTTCACACCCCAAACTATGAGTTGCCTATAGACTTCCCCTTCAACATCCTTAAACTTACCAATTCTGGGTTTGGAGAAGGTCATTTGAGGTGCCCCCTCCCCCCCCCTGTGAACCCCTTTGACCGTCACTTCAGTCAGCAAACTGCCCGCCTTGTGGCGTTCTTCGTTGGTGCCGGTCGGGCGAGGGTCGGGGCGCTACCACACTCACCGAGTCTGGGCCCCCTTGGCACATCAGCCTCAAGCACATCATTGAGTGCCTCGGCCGTTCATCGGTGGCCCTCGATCAAACCGTTCGTAGGTGATGGCCCTCTCCAACTGAGCGATGGCCTTCCGTCGAAGGTTGCAATCATTGAAGAAAGGGGACAACGATCAATTCCCTGCCCAACGGCCACGGTGTCAGGACTGCCAGGCCTAACGACCGAAATCGAAGAAACAGTGGATCTGCTCTGCCCAGAAAATGACTTGCTCGGCAAATCAAGAATATTCTGCTCAATTTCAACGTGACATATGATGGACAATTAAGATCAAATAAGGACATTCAGGGGCCTGTACGTGTTGGTGTCTTTTTGCCTCCAACATGTTCCTTCGGTCAGCCGAACAACATGACCAAATCACCCGCTCCCACATCCAGCGCTCGTCACGTACACGACCCTCGCGATGATCGACTTCTTCCAGTGCTCGTGCCCCATCCGGCAGTGAAACAGCGGGCTCCGCGAGTGGCATGTGAAGTGGGCGGAGTCGGCTGCATGTGAAGTCAATGCCAGCATGCCATTTTGCGACCCAGTGGGGTAAATTACAAAGGGGGAGGCCAGCATCCATCTTACAGTAAAAACTACTACCCTTATCACGCGCATTGTATGCGCAACTGGCAAAAAACTCATCCCCCCATGGGGGAAGTGTTCCATTCACCCAGGAAGACCATCTCCAAAAGGCAAGAAGCACTAATTGGAGGGGTTTCCCTCCTCACTGATCTGACCCGCTTCTCCGTTGGATGATTGAAAGGTCTCACCTGTTGCTCACCTGTTCCTCTTGATCCTTTAGATGTTCCTCTTGCTGTTCCTCACCTGTTCCCAGGTGAGCCGTTGGATCTTTGCCTCCGGTCGGACTGGTCTGTCGGACTGGTCTGACCTGCTAGGCGCTAGGCTATATCCACCATCCGGTGTGCATCGTCCACCCCACAAAGCGGTCCTGGTGAAGCAACGAAAGTACACTCTGAGTGTAGTATTGACAGCACCTACGCACCTACGAAGGGCCCTTGGCCGTTAGGCAGGATGCACCTAAAACACACATCATTGCCCTGACATGCAAAGAGAGTGGTTATATGGTTTTTTTTATGTAACACAATGTAATAGTACACATGATAGTCACATGAAGAATACCATGTACCTACCGCAATTGGTGTTCGCAAGAAAGAGGGTGAGATGGACTCCAATGTGGAAGCCCCTGATGAGTATTGGACCAAACTATATCATGAAGCTTATATACAAGGGAAGATCGAGATGACCTCATGCTACCCCGACTCCAAGTTCATGATGATCCTTCTGAAGCTTATCAAGGTTGAAGATCCAATATTGCTAGCCAAGTTGAATGAACTTAGCTCCAAAATTGGGATGCACGTAGATCCGAACCGGGAGAATATACATTCTAATATAATTGTATATATAGTAACATATAATAACTAAATACGATTAAATATAATATAATATATATAACATATAAAGCATATATATAAGTGTATATGTATATATATATATATATCGATGTGATATATCGATATGTGTGTTTGAATAGCACAAGGAACATGATATCGTGATATATCGTGTGTGTCTATGCTGCACGCTGTGCATGAAGCGATCGTGGAGACCCAGCACATCTCTCAATCATCACAGTGCACGCACTGCTGCCCAGCACTGCGGCCCAGCACATCGCCCGCAGTTCGGTCTCTCACTTCTTGCTCACAGGCTTTGACAAGATGGCTTCTGGGCGCGCAAACCGCACGTCTGCGCGGACATCCGCGCAGACGTAGGTCGGCGCATCGGCCGTCTGTTTGAGGGACACCGAGGCCAAAGGTGGGAACGTGGGATCCGGCACGGTGGGGCCCCTTTTGGCTTCCGGGTGGTCCTGGCGTCGGCCGTGCCAGGTGCGTTTTCGTCATGTCGCCTGATCTCGGAACCGTAGGAACCATGTTCCGCGTCTCGGAAAAGAAAACTGGAGACGAACTACTGTTGATCATTCCTGAAAGGCCGGCCAAATAGCCCATCCTATGAAGGGATGCAAAATTGAGGAACTTTAGTGCAAGGGTTTGCCACCCACTGGTGGCAGAAAAGAACTGGTAAGCGGTATGCATGGTTTGTGCTTAACTAGATCTCCCCAAACGTATCCTATGGTATTGTATGGTATCCATCTAACAGAATCTAACACCATGCCATGGGAGGGGTCCATTTCGCTTCAACAAGCATCCCAAGGTCCCTGTCCGAATCGTCACGTTGTCAACCATCCTCCGTCCTCGATGTCCCTCGTCCTGCCGTGCGCTCACAAAGCCCGGGGCCCGCTCCAAACGGAACCACCAAACAGCTCCAAGACACTCTCTTCGTCGTCTAGCTCCCGGAGGTTTTTCAGGCCATAATAGAAAGCGAGCGATAGAAAGATGCCAGCAAAAACCTCAGTTGAGCAACCTCAGGAAAAGAACATGAGTATACATTAGAGGAGACAAACCCATGATATATCTGTGCCTATCTGGATGCAGGTCCGCTATCCATCTGCCCATCTGTCTGGCGTTCTTTTTTGCTTGCTACTCAGTGCCGCAACACCGCTCAACCAAACGACTGCTCAGTCTTAGTCTTGGCCTTGAAATTGCCAGGCGGCGCGCGTCCCCAAGATATCATCCAAAAGAAGCTCACCAATCAGCCAAATGGTGTTTGCACACCTTAAGTTCGTCAGAGACACAGCCAGCAAAGCCTCAAACTCCAGCCTGCGAATGAAAAAACGAACATCCTCTCTAAGTCATCTGGCATACTGGACACATTGGCATCAGGGTCCAATCATTTTTGAGAAGGCTGGAAAGGCCGAACTTCCTGTTGAATCAGGTCGATGATTGACGGTCAATGGTTGAATCATCGACCCATCGGTCAGCACTTCGTCACCTTCGTCAGTGATGTGTGGCGATGAAAAGCGTCCGTGTCCATTCCTCTTCGCCCTCTCCCCTGTATTCACCAGATGTGCTGACCAGGAATATGCCCCCCCCTGGAATGGCATTGAAGTAGGACATCCAATCCTCTTTAAAGACTCCTCACCAGGAGACTTGCATAAGGTGACACTGGACCGAATCTAACCTCATCTTGTCACCCCCGACAGCCGTTCATGCACTGACTTCGGAGAAGCTGCGGGAATTCACCTCCATGAACCGATTTGGTCACACCACGGATCTGAGACCTTTTCTTCTCCGTGGCACAGCCAGTAAATCTCGGCGATGGTCAACAGGGGGCATCCTGGCACGACGGGCCCTCGCGCCGAGAAAACCCAAAGACCACGACGGTCGTGCCAAACCAACAGAGGTCTTCAGAAGCCTAGTTCGACTATCCCAGTTGGGTACCCCAGGTGACGGGTCCTAGTTCAGGTCACTTAACCTCTATAAGGTCAGGGACCAGAAATCGGACCAGCACCCACGCGGCGACAGCGGAGCGGCCTGAGATGGGATTGCCACCCTTCAGTGCGATCAAGCAGTAGAGAACCAGAAGGGAAGAGACAATGGCCTCAGAAGACTCAAGCATCACCAGAGTTCGAAGCGGAACCCCCCTAAACTCATGGGGAATCATATTGACACCGCTGTTTGTGGCTTGTGCCATCACCTACCCTCACTTGGAGGCCAAGTTTGAAGGCCTAAATTGTGGAAGTCCCGGAAGGATACGAGCCAACACGATGCGCAGGTTTGATCGACCATTAACATTCACTCTGCTGACAGGTCACTGGCCAAGCAAGCCTCATCAACCAAAAGCTATCCTGCAACGCAAATAGCGAATACGACCAAACGACCATGCGAACTTACCTGATATGCTGGTTTATTCAGCGTGTCGCAAATCGGGTTCAGTCAGGCTCCAGGGTAGATTCCATCCGTCAGGCTCCTCCTGAAGACTGTTGCGAGCCGCTTAGCTTCTAGCCTGACGACTCTGAAGCTAGTCGACGATGCATTCACATTGTAAGTCTTGGGTCTGGGGATGTCTGGGGCCTTGCCCCCAAGTGGCCACTGCCCCATGGGCGGGTCTGACCGGCCCTTTCTCCACGAAGCCAGATTGAACACAGGCTAGTCGCAGTCAGATCGAACTTCCGCTTCCTGGTCCCCAACTTGTGTGCGGATGTGAGACACTGACACTTCTTAGACGCCACGGACACCTCCTTGATATTCGGCAGCCACACGACCCAGCCGAAGATTCGATGGGTCGGTCCTTCAAGATCCAAAAGATGCACCAAAGGTCCGCATTGAGCCTCTCCCGCCGCGGAACCGGCGGCCCAGCCGATTCGATTGGGTCGTTTTGTTTTTTCGTCGCACTTCGTTCGTTCGGAGCGTTTCCACGTTTGGAGAACATGATGAGGAAGGGGTGTGTGTGTGTGTGTCTCAACAAGGTCCAAGCGTGAGAAGAGGGGATTTTCGGGATCTCGATGAAGATCTCAAAAGTGAACTATGTATTCTATATTGGGTCCATTCTATTACCTGTAACCGTGGATGATGATGGTTAGTAAAGGCCTTGTCCAAACACAGTGATAATTGTTTACTGACTGTTACAGCTAATAGGACAGACCTTAATTATATATAATACGCTTAACTCTCTATATATATAGTTTAACTTTAACAAAACTATATGCAATATCTTATATGTATATACATATATCTAATATCTCTGGCTTCGGCTTCGACTCTCAGGCCCATCGTCCGCCTTGGATCACCGCGAAGAAAATCCATCGAATCGATGGCTGTCGGTGGTGATTCATGCTGTTTCATAAGAACAGCTTGTCCAAAACCATACTATATGTATATATGTATGTATATGCATGTGTATACTTGTCCTAGCTGAGATCCCTTGCTAAAGGGTCTAAGGGCGGTGCTAAATACAGGCCAAAGGCGCCAAAGGCCAGAGGAACGAAGCCAAGGGCAGCAAGTCCATGATGTCCATGGTGTTTTTACAATAAATATGTAAAACCAGTGTATCTAACTAGTGGTCTAACTAGTGTATCTAACTATATATAGTGTATCTAAATATGTCCATGTGGTCTAACTAGTGTATCAGAATTTGGAAGATCAACCACAGGAGCTTTGTTTGTTGGAGAACCCCCACCTCTCCGATGAACTCCCCGTCTCCCATTCTGCCTGCGGAACAAGGAGGTCGGGTGTCCTGGTTGCCGGCCCAGCGTCTGCGTGCCCACGCCGATGATGAGCGCCAGAATCCAAAAAGTGGCCGCGCAAACCTCACGAAGAGGGCGAGTCACCAGGGGTCCAATGCGGGGTTGGGGAGGACCATGGGAGTTTGAGATGTTTCATAATGCAGACCATAGATAGAGGAGGTGGGTCACAAAAGTGAAGAATCCCATTGGGTTCTGTCCATGCTTCAGAATGAAGCCACTATATAGTTTCTGACAGCCCCCTCTTGAAAAACCATACCTTGGGTATATCCCATTACCAGTAATTAACAGTGGATAATGATGCTTAGTAAACGCCTTTCTCTACAATAGTGACAACAGACCCAATACACTTTCTCGTGTCTTTTTGAACTTCCATCAAGAAGCGCACAGCAGCGGCCTTGGCGTCAAAACGTTACTGTGGGACATGAAATGTAAGAAATCCAGGAAAACTGGTTGTTTTTCTTTTGAATGTTCATCCCGACAATGTGATTTGCGGATTTCTTACTGCAAACCATCCTGCAGTGCAATCAGGCCGCAATGAAGATCGTATCCGCCCATGTCTTTGGCCCCAGCAAGGCCTCGGAAAGCGGTGATTCACAGGCCTCGGGATGGGGGTGCGGCGGCATGTGGCCAAACTATGGACCTGGGTCAAAACCAGAGACCTTGGTTGACCACCAAAAATGAACAGAATACAGGTCAACCTACCAGGGTTTGGGGCTTTAGGTTTTGACTCACAGCCCTATATATACTCACCAACATCTTATATACCCAGTCACTTCCGCGGATCACTCCACTCCGTCCACGTCCAGTACCGTCGGAGGCTGGGCTTTCGGAGTGCGGACCGGCGACCGTCCGCGCGGCCTGGAGCGTGTCGCCAAGAAGGACCAATGATCGTAAGATCGAACCAGTCCAAACGATTGATATGTGAAAAACCAAGCCTGCTGGCAGTTTAAAGAACATCAGAAAATCACCTATATAAATCGAATTGTGTCATCATCTTTGCATCTTCATGATGTCGTGGTAAAAAACAGCATCACGTGAGCTGTGATTGTGGCGGGGGGTCCATCCGCCGTCCGCCCACCGGTCGTCTCGCCATCTCACCGATCGCCCAGGAGCTCCATGAAACCTGGGAGCGACCGGGCCACACCGAGCGGCGAGTGGGCCAAAGCGAAGGGGTTCGGTGGAGCGAAGGAAGAGGCTCCAAACCGATTCGAGGTCGGCGAACGTGGTGAAACCAACTCAACTCCCCAATGAACGTGGGCAACTCACCCGGTTTGGCCAGCACATCGCCAGCTTGAGCTGTCTCAAAGCTGGCAGGCTCGAGTTGTGCAAGTCAGCTCGAATGCTCGCAAATTCTCTAATTACCCCCAAGTTTGCGCGCGAGGTGCCAGGGGAAGCTGATATTCCGGGAATGCGTCTCGTACCTGGCCAGAAAGATGCACACCTACACCCTCCAACAGATGAAGTGCCACACTTCACCCTCTTCAGCTAGGTGTGAAGATACTGTTTCTGCGATTTGTTCAGTGTTTCACTATGCAGCAATTGATTGTTTGGGCCCAGGAGGGTAAAGACTTCGATCTAAGGTCGGCCCCTTTTCCGCGCTGACTGCCATCGGCCCTCTGGGGCGCACAGGAATTCGCTGGTCATCCACGTGCCGTTGCCCAGGATCCAGAGCAAAATCCTGGGGGTTTCACGAAGTGCGTCGCTGATACATGTGATATGGCGTGCAAAAGGTGAGGAGTGCATCCAGCATCCACATTCATCTATGACCTTGGTATCTTAGGGTCAGTAATAGCAGTGGCTACAAGGGTTTTCACGATTCAGATATGTTCCCCTCGGCCCAGTGGTATTCATGATACTGATATCCCCTTCGTAAAAGAAACATCTCGCTGCATGGGCAAGCGCTCCACCAGCTCCCTACTGGACCTGCGATGAGACAGCAGTTTCATCAGCTTCACTGACAGCCACACCGGCCCGCTTTACAAAGCTCGGAGAGGCTACGAGCCTTCCAAGGTCCATTGTCAGAGTCCATGTTGGTTTTTCGGGAGGGCAAGTCATCGTGCGTCCAGTTTTCAAGACATTTGCTTTGTCTGTCTGTCTGCCTGCCTGGCTGTCTGTCCGTCTGTCTGCCCGCCTCACTCTCATATATATATATATATAGCTCCTCTCGTGCTAGGTCTTCTTCCCTCCCACTCATTGAATGGACCAGGGCTCTCAGACCAGGGTCCAAGTCGCACAAACATCAGCTGAGACAAGTGTAGCCTGGGACCTATCACCACTGACGACACGATGGCGGCTTTAGGTGCCAAGAAGGCCCTCTTGAGACATCCACACCCCCGGCCATTTCTTATGGCCTTAATGGCTCCCACTCTAATAGCAATAACAATGGCCTCCACCCTAATGGCGATGGCCTCCAACCTAAGAGCGATGGCCTCCAACCTAATAGCAATGGCTGTTTCTTAATGTTTCTTATGCTAAGTCTTAGCCGAGAGGCACGAATCGACTACCACGTTCATAAGCATCGGATGCCTGGAGGAAAAAAACACGTTCGGAGCCGCGCATCGAACGGAATCGGTGTTCAGGCCGCTCCCGTGTCCACAGAGCCAACTCTGACTCCCAAACACCCTCGTCAACCACCTGGCAGATCATCTTTCAATTGTTCTATCTTAACCACACCTCACGGTTGTCGGCTGTGGTGAAGTGCGCCCGGGAATCGCTCCGAAACGGATGTATATAACAAGAGTACCTGGAACATCCTCGTGAAACCGAACATGCCACAGAACCCAAACAAGCCCAAATAGATGTCCAAGTTTAAATAGATTGATATACCCAGCTTCAAAGGCTAGTTCAAGACATGTCCAAAAAGCCCCCCCCCAAAAAAGAGCGAAGTACCACAACCACGGGATCAGTCCCCAAGCTTCTCCCTGTGTTTCCAGTGCTTGGGGCGCTCACCAGACATCCCAGCACCGGTGAACTGGTCCTTCCGGTCTCGTCGTTTTCGCCGCGCCTGCCACGCATTCGCCAAGTCCCAGCACTCGAAGATCAGAGCACCGAACAAGGCAAACCATGCCATCTCGGGGATCAGAAGGACCTGCGATGGATCACCGGATTTCTCCGTCGTTTCGATAGCGGCGGAAACGTCACGGCCGCGGGAAGGTGGAGAAGGTCCCTCGACCGGTCCGAAGGGACGCCATCCATGGCGCCATGCCAGGAGCCCCGTTCGTAGCGTCCGATCGCTCCGTTCGTTTTTTCGATGCCAGGAGCCCCAAACGTAGCATCCTGATCGTATGAGGAATCGGTGCAATTTGGTCTCCAAATGTCGGACCTGTTCTGACTGTGTCCAATTCACACTATCCAGCACTTGATCAATGGATCTTGGCCATGGGTCCCTTGCGAAGGGTTTTACCAGGTTTAACCTGCATGCATATAGTGGTTTAGTGAGAGATCCCATCTAAGCCAAAAGGACTAAGGATCTAAGAGTACGCCTCTTCGGACAGTCAAGAGTTGTCAATAATAGTAGATCGTTCGTTCATCACTCAAGGCGAACCAACCAACAGCATCCACCAACCTCATCCGCCAACTCAGCGCACGAAAAATATGGAAAAGCGCATCCCGCGCGACAACTCCCGTCGACAGGTGCCCAGGCCCAGCTGAAATCCTTCACGACCCAACACAGGAAGCCCGCAGTCTCCTTGGGCAACTCTGCAAGTCGACCCAAACTGTTTTTGGATTCCCCGAGTCTTACTCTACTAGGAACAAGTGCATCGCTAGTAGTAACAGGTGCCTTACTAGTAGTAACAAGGTTCGCTACTAGGAACAAGTGCCTTACTACTAGTAACAAAATATACTTTAATCAAATAATATATACATACTGAGGTCACATGACTTAAAGACTTAGGCCTTTGATGCGTTGAAATGCGATACAACTTTCCCAAGGATTGGACACCTACACGTTCAGTTCGTGACATAGGCCATTCCGACTCGGTCAAAATGATCCTATTCTTTTGGGGGGGTCCTCGTCCTGGAGTCCTGGAAGATTGGAGCTAATGAAAGAGAACATGTCATAGCAACGTCACTATGATGTTTACCTCTATGAAGTTTACCTCTATGCGTTTTCGCTCTCAAATTCATGTCTCCAGTGTCTATCCATTGTTCAGATACCAACGTCTTAGGTCATGACGCTTGTCAATGTAAAATCAACTGTCTTGAAGATCGTTGGTGACAACCTCTGGAATCTTTTTTTTCTTGTCAAGCGTTTGCTTCATGACATGCAACTTTTTGGACACAGGGCATATCCTCGTGACTTAGCCGCATGAATTTTCACAAGTTCTTTGTCATCTCACCCGAGTATAAATATGTATATACAGTTCTGCAGTTGAGCCTCCAAGTGAACCATGGCCCCAAATTGTGTTTCCTAGTTTTAATTGAAAACTGAGGCGTTGCATCTACGAGCTGCCAACGGAAAGCAAAACCTGCACCACACAGGTGTGAGGCTGCACTCACACAAACTACAGCTTGCCATGGTGTCTTATGTGCCAGTGGTCCTTGGGATTGAGACAGGAACTGCCAAAACTGGTCCCCAAATGAGCAACTACACTCCGACTCACTAACATGGAAGTGGAGAACCCACTGTTTGTAGAGGAAAGTAGTCTTCCAAGAGGCCATTTTCCACTTCCATGTTAGTGAGTCAGAGTGTACACCCACAGAAACATGGTACACAACCCTAGACCTAGAAATCCTGGCTCATAAATGAATGTTCATCATACAGTGGCTGACAAATGATGCCCATCTGGGAAGAATAGAGGGGGGGTTCCGGGTACCATGTGCCAGTTGGTCACACACCCTTTGGATATGGTATTCCCTCTATGAATTTCCACTGGACCAACTGTGACCAACCAATTGCTCAAATGCCATCGAATGATGGCGATCACTGCGAGAACTGCACTAGGTCACTAGCTTTTGACCTCGCATGGACCGGGCACCCGACCGGAGCCACCCGATCCAACCGCCCAAGCAGCTTGCCACGGAGCCATGCGCAGCGGAGCCCAATCAGTCAGGCTGAGAAAGAGCTCGTGGAGACACCTCCACGAGCTAAGCTCGTCAACGTGGCCCGAGGCACGGTGGCGGCACGCGGAAAAGCGCTTTTCTGCGCGCTGCAAAACTCTGGGCCCCCGTCCTGTGTGCCGAAATTGGGCGTAAGAACACCGCAAAGACTCAACATCGACCCATTCAACTCTTGGGACTGTACAGATCGACCCCCCAAAAACTCAACCATGTCCTTGCTTTTCAAGGGCATGTGTTCAATAGATGCAGTCTGACAGGGACCAGGAGGACTGTCGGACGGCGCTCTCCACTTTGGGCTCTCCTGGGAGCTTCCATGTGCATCCGGTACACTGATCTGAGTACTCCTCCTGGAACCATCCCGAAGAAAGAACAACAAAAAGCACCCACCAGGACCTTCAGTCAGTACGTGACCTCTTTGGAGTCTCCAAGTGACCTTTTTTACAAGCTTAAGTGACCTCAGCCACTGGGACTGGGATCTCAAAAGGTCACTTTGAAGGTCCTGGCAGGCCCACCCACGAAACCCTGGTACCAAGTCACACACCAGCCTGTTCCGGTTGGGACACCGACCGATACAAACCGGGTGCTGTTGCTGTCCGCTGGTCGGCTCCCTTCTTCCCAACCGGTCGTCCGCTCGTCCGCCGCCTCCCTCTTCAGGCAGCCGAGTCTGCCGCAGCGCCGGTGGTGGGTGTGGGACTGGATCCGAAGAAGGAGCCGGATCGAGATCCCACACCCAACCACCCCCTAAGATATAAGTGGCTTAGGATTGAGCCGACATAACTGCCAACGGCCAGGAACGTGGGTGAACCTTTGCTACCTCAAACTTTGGAATGTGGGGGGGCAGCTTGACGCAGCTCCGAGGAGCAAGTGTCAAACGATTTTGTTGCTCTGCGTCGGCCGAGTCGGAAACGGAGTGCCGTTCACTCCTTTGAGTTGAGAGGATATCAAAATCCAAATGTGGTTGATGTTTTTGACCAGGCCAGTTGAGACAAGCTGGCAAATCGATCTAGTTCATCCAATGGGTCGCCTGAAAACGGCTCGACTCCGACCTCCAAGTCCGGACGGTCGGGTCGGATCGCGGCGGATGATGCATGGAAACCGGCTTCCAACAACTACTTAACTTAATAGGCTTTACCGAATCAACTAAGGATTTTACACTATGTAACAACCAGGTCAGCCATGTTTTAATGGCCTTGGAAGTCTAGAGTCTAGGGGAAACGATCTCGAAAACCGGTTCCTAGGTCCGCAGCTACACTGGAGCGTTTGGAGAAGCGTCCGCCGCTGCCTGGCGGGGCAAGACGTCCGGAGTCCGTGAAGACTGGGCCGACGCTGGGTGAAGGCTTGGTGCCATGTTGGAGGCTTGAGAACACCTCGAACAAAGGCTGGGAGAATGGCGTGCCGAATGCTCATGCGGGGCTCACCGTGGTGACTGGTCACAGAAACCCACCTGGACCCTGCCGCGTCGTTCGTCGTTTTCGGCCTGTGGTGGTGGCAATGCTCCGCCTGCCAGCCGGAGCATAAGGGGCCGCTCAAAACTCCCATGTTCACGGTCTGTTCACTTAATGTAGACTCTTGAGGACCATCAACCCTCCATATGAAGAGGATGTTCAAGAGTCTACATGGGGGGGGGTTTATGGTCCTCAAGAGTCTACATGACATGAGAAATGACCCGCAAAAGAAAGGAAAGAGAACAAGTCACTGGCGACTCAACCATGTGAAAAACCCCGCCCCCTGCTTCGGAGGCATGGCATATCTTGATGACTCCGACCGCAGGTGGGTCCGTGTCGCCTGCCCAGGTAGTTGATTTCGTCAAGTTGGTCTGCCCTGAAAGATCGCTGGATTCTCCCCTGCAAACGCCTCATAGTCATAGTACTCATTCTGACAGCTTCAAATTCTCCACTCCACGATGCTCCACCCGCTACGAAAAAACAGTTCCAACCACGTCCAACCTCATCCCCACTGGCCTACGTGGCACAGGCACATCCACCTGACCCATTACACGGTGCGACCAGGCGACCAAACAAACTGAACCGAACATGAACAGCCTTTCAGTCTGTCTTGCTCCAAAACGGGTTCCGAACGGACGTGAAAGGCCCGTGATAACCCCGGAGCCAGGGCCAGACAGGCCAGAGGTTGGGTGAAATCTGGGTGAAGTCTACGGCCCTTGCATCAAAAACAGGTGTCCGGTGTCGCCTTGAACATTGGTGCATTACACTCTGGTTCACTACATGATGGATGGCGAGAATTGGTTCGGCTGGATGCTTTTACCCAAAAACAGGTGAGTGGGAGGGTAATTCTATAGAAATCCCCATTCAACTCGGCTAGCCTAAAATCCCCAACAGCACTAGACTTGATTGGGTCAAACCATGACCGTTATGGTTGAAATCCCCGGAAGCAGGTACACTCTATGGCTCTATGTTGAATTAATTTTGCACCCAGATCATATCTGGGAAATTAGCCAAAATACACCTTTGGATGATCACCTCTACGTTCCAGAAGGGGCAATGGCCACAACACACCTGGCTTTGACAAGCTAGCAGCGCGAAAATGTTCAGCAGTTTCACTGTAAACGCCAAAAAGAAACATTCCTTCAAAATGTCTTGGGCTGGAAAACTGTTGTTGCTGGGAAAGTGCAACTGCATTGTTGTGCTAAGTTGCCCAACAAAAGCAAATAATGGAAAGAACGGCAAAGTTTTCAAACACAATCTTTAAAAGAACAAAAATCCATAAATATGGGAGCTACTGGACCCTTTAAACTTTACAACTTGCAACTGAAGAAAAACTGGTGATTTCCTGTGGTCAAAGAGGAATAGAAGCACCAACCACTCACACTGTCTCGGAGCAGCAGCAGCAACAACATGTTTTTCTGCGCAAGTCCTTGGCCTCTGCCCCAGGCCCTAGTCAGTGTCCTAGTGACATGTGACTACTTTAGTGGGCCTGGCTACAAACTAATGTCGATTGCGCTTATGACCTATGACTAGGGCCAGGATGACTAGGGTTGAGGCTAGCGGCTAGTCACTAGCGACTGGGAGCCTAGTGCCTAGTGAGTGGCTAGAGACTCAAGCCACTCTAAGACTCTAAGCCTGAAGCCTAGCTTACCATGGCTCTATGGCCAAAAGGTAGGCTGGGGCTGGGTTTGCTGTGCTCCAGACAAGCAAACAGAATCGGATCTGGCTAAGGCGGTTACGGTTAGCGGCTAGCGGCTAGCGGCTAGCGGCAGCGGGCTACCGCTTGGCAGCGGCTAGCGGCTAGCTACGGCGACGGCTACGGCTAGCGGCTACCGGGTACCGGCTACGGCGGCTACGGCCAAGCTAAGCGCGGTCAAGGCGGCTAAGGCTGGGCGGCGAGGCTACAGCTGGCCAGAGGTGGGGCCATGATGCAAGAAATGCGGACCCCGAATCGGCGCCCATCTGAGCTCCTGGGCGGGGGCGTGGATGAACACATTCGGGCCCTGCCCTGGCCAACCCAAGAGAAAAAAGTGTCCGGGCTGGAAGTGCGAAAGTACGTTTTTCCCTCCTGAGCGAATGGACAAAAGTACGAAAATACGATCTTCCTGGCCATCTGGTGTCCAAAAAATACGCTGAGCCCGCGTGTGATCACCACCAGCGTATTTTTTTTTACGATGGTCCCACGTGTTGTCCCCACGATCGTATTTTTTTTACGATTCTCTCCAAAAATCGTTTTTAAAATACGATTTGGCGAGAAAATCGTAAAAAAAATACGCTGTCCAGAAATACGAAAATACGATTGGAACCTGGCTGGGTCGACGAAAAAATACGTTTGCCACCGAAAATACGATTGGAACCTGACTGGGTCGATGAAAAATACGTTTGCTTCCGAAAATACGATTCAAACTGTCAGGAAATACGATTGGAACCGAAAATGCGATTGCTGTCGTCGCTGTTGCCAATCAATGCTGCTGCTGTCGGGAACCACCCCTCACTGTGAGCACGCGATTCAAACAACTTGTTGGTTGTGAGTCTTGCGTGTGAGCTGCCTGGCGAAAGAGAAGACAGAACATTTGGCACACGCAGCGACAGTGACAGCCCAAGCACAGCGCGCGTTCTGCTGCTCTGCTTCAGGCGCGTTTTGGTGTTTAGTTTATAGGTTTAGGTTTAGGTTTAGCCTGCGTTCTTTGCTGCTACGCGCTCAGTGTTTCCATTAAAGAAGCACAGCTGTCAAAAAAACATTTGGGCGTCGCTGTCTAGAAGGCAGAAGCCAGCCCAGGCAACAGCTATCAGCTTCGCACGCCACCACCTAGCAGCTAGCCGCTAGCCGCTTGCCCAGTTAGCCTAGTCAGCTGCCCAGAAAAATCTTAACTAGATGCTAGTTGCTAGCTGCTAGCTGCTGGCAGTGGACGCCTACCTCCATCTAACACAGGCGTCTCAAACTGTGACAGCACAGCAACTAAGCTACGCCAGCTATGCAATGGCTCAAAGCACAAGGTTTATCTCAGCTGATGCAGCTGTCGAACCTGAAGTCTGAGAAGGCCTTATGAGTCCAAACCCAGCAGCTAAGCCTAAGCAGCTAAACAGCTAAACTCCAAACACTAAAGTCACTAAACTCCACAGCTTTGGATCCCGTATTCATGAGCAGCCAGTGTAACTTCCAGCTGTGCTTTGCCACTAAGCACACGATTGTTTCCAAGAAAGCCTTTCCAAAAATACACTGCTTTGTTGTTTTGTGTTCCAAAGCGTATTTTTTTTACAAGTGCATTTTTCTCACTAGGTGTTCATTTTGGCAGTCGTATTTAAAATATACTTGTATTTTTCAACTGTGGTTGTGATTTTTCCCATCGTATTTTTTTTACAATTGTATTTTTCTTACTAGGTGTTCATTTTGGTAGTCGTATTTTAAATACACTTGTATTTTTCAAAGGAGGTTGTGATTCTACCAATCATATTTTTTTGCCCTTTGTATTTTTCAATCGTATTTTTCTACAAGGGCAAGCGTATTTTCTACAAAGGCGTATTTTTGAATCGTATTTGTTTCTAGTCTGGGGCGTACTTTTAATTCATGTATAGAGCAATAGGCTCTACCTGACTTGGGGTTTCCAACGTTATGGACCAACAACTCGGAGGCAAAAACGGCCAGCCGGCTGGACCAACACGACCAGCTGACTTCAAGCTTGACATCGTTCAGGGTATTTCGGATGCCAAAAAAACATCCTACTCACCACGTCCGCCCATCCGATCGGTGGTTGAGGGGGCTGGATGCATCGGTTTGATGGTGGAGTTCTGCCAAGCCTCAATGCGAAGCTCTCCCGGCTGCACCACCTGTGCAGAAAAGGGCACTCGCTGTCGCCCAAGCATGCGCAGGGGACTTCAGCTGCATTGGATTTCGGAGAAAATGTGCACTCCCACTCACTAGCATGGAAGTGGATGGCACCCACTGTTCGTCAAGGAAAGGAGTCGGACCATCTTCCACTTCCATGTTTGTAGGCCACAGAAGGCTCCAATAAGCACCTGGGATGCCCATCTGAGATAGTTCTTGGACTGTGAGGGGCAAGTGATGGGTCATGAAATTGGGGATTGCAAAGGTCTCCCAGTTCATGAAAAAAAACCTGGATGCATCCACCTTTGATCGACACCAGAACTGAGACCATGCGCATGGTCAGGCAGATCGATTCGCAGAGGTCTGTCGAACGCATCAAGAACAGCTCTGTCATGAATAGGAAAACACTCAGCGGAAGGAAGTAATAACCAGGTTTCTTGAGCACCCTTTTAGTATGGCTAGTTAAACCGGCTAGTTTCTGTTACCACCCCATCTCTTTCTCCATGGAACACCGAAACACTCGAAACATCTCGAAACGCTCCCAGGACCCCCTCCTCGGCGAAGTAGGACTCATTGGTTTGGGCGCGAGCTCTGTCCGCCTCGGTCATGCCCATTGGTGCCGCTTCCCCTTCCAGACAGCCAAGAACTTGAAGTCGCTTCTCTACGGCAATCTTCAAGCGCAGCGCTGCGGGCGTCGCGTAGATCCAAAAAAAATCCACAAAGCATGGTGAAACTTCAAGTCTTCTTCTGACACAGAGCTCAGTCAAAACCTGTCTCCCCTTTGCTTGCTGAGTGTCCACATTTGGGCAGGAATTCAAGCCTCAGTGTAGCCAGGGTGTGGAAAAAAAGATCCGTTTCTCCCTGGGTCCAATCCCCAAAGAAGACAACGACGACCCCCTGGGAGAGTTGACTGGAAGGTTGAGTTGGTTCGGTACCTGTGCCCGCTGACCTGCACCTGTCTTTCCAGCCATGCTGACCTGCCTGGAGACGTTCACATGGACTGCTAGACTGCTAGACTAGACCTGGAAAATCATGAAGCGATGTCCTTGGGCCCTTTGGGCCCTTTGGGCCCTTTAGCTTTGGGATCTCTTAGGATCAGGGTGAAGGGGCAGCCCCCGATTCTCATCCTTCGATCTCTTTCGCACACCGACGAGTGGGCGGCGTTGGACGTCCCTGGCGTCCGGGCTGTGAAACGACACGCTACAGCGCCCCCATCGGCCGTCCCGCTCCTGCAGGGTGTGAGAGAGGAGCCCACGGCTCGACGCACAGATTCTGAGCATCCATGTTACAATGCGCTGAAACGCACTGCAACGCCCTGCAAAACTCCACATATCTATGCTGACTACACGGGTGGACAAACTGACAGTTGCGCTTCTACACTGGGTAAACGGGACTAGACCCCTCTCCCCTTAGAATCCTACGTGCAACATGTCGACACCTAAGAAGCTGACTATATGCTGACTCAACTCTTGGAGAACGTCGTCTCTGATGCTTTTTACACACGTTAAGTGGCTAGTTTCTTTTTTGTGGAGCCAGAGTTGTGTAACACTGCTACTTGGTTTGCAATTAAACCGTAATGTTGCCAACGAACCAAGCAAGGAGCAACGACACCTTGAGCTGCATGCTTTTCAGACGGCTCATGAATTTGGATAGGAACCCGTTGTATGATATGCTCATGCATATGCAGGTCATCCTCAAGTTCACCAGGTTCTATCAAATGAGGTTGTGCAGGTAGCAATCCGTTTTATTGAGCACGTGGAACGAAATCTTCGCAGCGCGCCCCACCTGATCCTCCTCTTCGGGAGGCAGGTTCACCTCGAGGGAAAGCACCGCCCTCTTGGGGGTTGCCACTCTCAGTGGCTGGAGGAGGAGGAGGAGAAACTGGCCCGGCAAACATGGAATTCCCCGAAAAAGGCACAATGCCGGAGTCGATTGAAGCAAGCAGGCCCCCGTGGACCCAAGATTCGCGATGGAAAGGCAACGCGGGCAATCCATGGTGTTTTGATGGGAAAGTCCCAAATTCCAACGAGACAAATGCAACTTGACGAAGCCTATCAGTCTTTCATCCACCTCCAAAGGGGGAAACCTGGGAGGACTTCTGGGAGGATATTGGAGCCTCTAGGTCTCTAGGTAATCTTGCCATCGCCTTCCTCGAGTCTCGTGACATCGTATCTGAGTCTGCCAAGCTGAAGTCAGGTTCCCGCACAGGTCCCGCGCCAAAAGCGGCCTGGCACCCAGATTGACAGGATGAATCTATTCCTGGCCTGGTCAATCACTTGGGGTTGTGCGGGATTATCTCTGGCACTGCAACCAAAACATCCAAAACCTTCCAGAAAGCACCTACTCCACTCGGCGCCTCTCCCACTCGACCCGTCACGGGTGCCACCGCCGCACGCGCCGCACGCGCAACACGCGCAGCGCAGCCTTTATCCTGTGGCGCACTGGTCGCGGTCTTTGCAGTCCCGGTTGTGGAGCTTTTCCGAAAGGCATCCGCACAGCGGGTTTTTTCGGGCGGCTTCGTGGCTCAAAAAGGTGTGCGACGCAAAACTCGGTGGAGGATGTGGACTTGATCAGTGATACCAAAATACAAATATAATGTGAAACAAGGTATATCAGTGTTTGGAAACAGCTGTGCCTGGTGGCATCTACCGAAACAACACCCCATTGGGAAGATTCCAAAGCTATGACCATCTCCATCTTTGCCCTCCTCTAAACCGAGCCCCGAATCGCAGTGGCGTATGCCGAGCCACTTTTTCGAACGATGTGCAGCGAACCCTTTTTCGACGAAGATGAGTGGCAGGACCGACCTAAACCCGTGCATACGTGGCACTCACCCTGCAACACATTTCTGGACCAAAATGCTAACAGTCAGCACAGTTGGACATAACATCGTGTTCCAGTCGTGTCCATCCAAAGGGCGATGGTCAAACCCTCCAACAAGCATCCAAGACACCACCGAACTGTGCATCAACTGCATCAACGCTTCACCGAAATCGGGCGGCTACACGGAACCAAACCCTGCTGTTGCAAGGTCACATCGCATAGTGCCAACAACCTCTTCGAGGTTGGCCTAGCTACTGTATGCTATGCTAATGTACGCTGCAAGCCTCACCTTCTTCGTCTGACCATGCCGTCGGAAGAGTTGAAGTGTGCAACATTCAAATGCTGAACCGTCCAACCAGCCTGGCCACACTCTGGTTCATCTGGTCATGCTCGGGCTGCCCGGCGAATGTGGTACGCTCCAAGCCTGAATGGGAGGACGCTGCTGGTCCTCACGTTCGAACCATCGCATCAAGCACGGACGTGGCTCCAGGGACCCCACCGACCTCACCCGCAGTGCATTTGACGCGACAAACAACCCCCATCAAACCAAATACTCGTACCAGACCCTGACATTTGGGACGCACACCCCACAAAAAAGAACGGCTCCTCGCTATCGGTGAATTCCGAATGCTTCTTCTTGAGCGCCTTGATTTCTGCTTGTTGCTGGCTCGCGAGCAAGAGCCATTGCATGTGGTGCCGCTGAAGCAAAGCCTGTCGATGCTTTCGGAGATTCTCGAGCATGTCCTGGTGAGACGTGCATCGATCAGGGATCCGATGAGTCGACCCCGGAAACTCCAGAGCCCCCCAGAATCCGAAGACTTCATCGAAGCTCGAATCCACCAAGTCTCGCACTCCCTAGCATATCCGACCGCCAGGGTCTGGAAGCCAGTCAACAAGGAAGAGTCCCAACACAGGACAGCACACGAGTCCGACTCATTTTTCGCAAATAGGAAATATTAATGACATGATGTGCAGAAATTTCCTCTTTAATCTCTTTATCAAAACTCGTAACTCCTTTTTGGATGTGGTTCCACGTCCCTTCGGCGTTGTAAGCTGGGAGATTTCGTGGACAAAGTCCGGCGACAGCGCTGAACTTTCGCCCGGATGGCCCAAATGCTCCAACTTCAGACCCTCGGAGCGCTGGACTTTCGCCCGGCACGTGGGGTATACCCCATCCCCGTTCAGTGGATGATGATGGCCTGTTGCAGGCCTCTCCATCTCAAAAAGACGGCTACAGGTATTTTTTATGGTATTCTTGGGGCACCCCGGGTTGCGTTGTGTTTGGGGACCCTGAGAAACGACTTGGAAGAAGGCATGGCACATGTGTTTGACTAGCGTGGTTCTGGCATCAAGTCTGGTTTGTGCCCTGACACATCATCTATCATAAAGGTTGGGGAGTGTTCTGGACTGTTTTGGCGTCCTTGCTGGCATGTGTTCTGACATTCTTCTTGCCGTGAAGTCTGACATGTGCTGCGACATATGGTCCGACTTCGGTCTTGCTATGTGCTCTGACATGCACTCTTGCATTTCTTAAAGAAAAAGTGTCTATATCTAACTATTGCAAAAAGCTCTAACTATCTGTCTGTCTGTCTATCTATCTACCTTCCATCTGTCTATCTATCTATCTATCCTATTCTATCTGGCATACATTCTGGCATTCTGTCTGGCATAAACTCTTGACACTCTATCTGGCAAGCATTCTGGCATCGGCATTCTATCTTGCATATTTTTAGTATCTGGCCTATACTTTGACCTTCTTCTGGCATGATTCTATTAAATTCTGACCTTCTATCTGGCACGCATTCTGGCATTCTATCTGGCATAAATTCTTGGATTCCATCTCACATAAATTCTGGCCCTCTATCTGGCATTCTATCTTCCACTCTATCTGTCGGGGCCCTGTGGTGCCCACTGCGATCCAGCACTCGCGGTTGAGGTCCGGCGGCGCCCACTGCGATCTAGCACTTGTGGTTGACCGGGAGGCGGAGTTGGAGACGGAGGATGAGGAGGCGGAAGAGCGGGACAGTACTGATAAAATCTAACAAACCTCAACTGGCAAGTGGTGAAAAAAATCTGAAAAATCTTGCTCTCATGGACCGACGAGCTGCCTGTCGGAGACTCGCCATGGTGCCGAAACTAAGCGAGGTAAAAAGAACGACGAGAAAGGCTACGACTGGGCTGAGCATAATGCTTGCAGCACATGGCCCCACTGCGTGTGCCGCATGTCCTGAAAAAAATTGACCCCGGCCGCATGGGCCTGGTTTGAAAGGCACAGGCCTGAAGCTAGCTGCTAGTTGGTGATTGTCCCATCCAGAAAAAAGGATGGAGAAACCACAGAAAGAAGGATAGACAATGCGGTGACACCCGTGACATCAACAAACCAAACATCTCCCGCACACCGAAAGGAGATCCGATACCCCCCCCCCCTCCGCCCGCTGCGCAGCTTTTGTGTGCGGCCGGCCTTTGGTCAACCAAACATCTCCCCCAAAAGAGTCGTATGGTGTGAAATCCTTCGTAAAAACCATGGTCCTTGGGCCAAGCTCCTTATATAAATCAATGGTGGTGGGCGGGTTTTTCGTCTTGGTGGCCCCTCTTCATCGAACGAAGGCGGGGCGAACAACGGCCAACGGCCTTGGGTGGGCTAGCCACGGCGGTGGACACCGCGGAGCCCGCGAGGTCGGCACTGTCCTTGAAGCGGAGCCCACGAGGTCTGGACCCATGTGACGGATCGCATCGAGGTCTCCGTTTAGTAGGACACCCCCAATCAAATGCATGGCAAACACGTGCTTACTCTTTATTGGAGGTCATTTTTATGGCAACCGTCGATACCGGCGAGGTCGCGAAGCGGTTTCACCGCTGTCACTGGCCGAGGTCCCGAGTCTCAAGTCCCGAGGGACCACCGAGCCGACCTGAGTCGGGGTGCTATGAGAATTCTGGTGGATGGACCACAGATGTGGCCCTGTTGACCCGTGAGGACCGACCTGGATCTGACCTCAAGGGCAGCAACTCTGTTGGAAGATCCAGGTATCAAGGAGTCAAGGAGTGAAGCGCGGTGAAGCGGAGTGAAGCGTGGGATGGACTAGTTCAGGACTCCTTCATAGGCTGAAACCATGAGGAGTGGGTTTGTGATGGTTTGTGCCCAATCCATGCTCCATTCGAGCTCTCAGGACTCATTTGGAGCCTGGCTCAGCATCACTGGTCGGATCTCTTGCGGGACATCTTTTGCCACGCAAAGCAAGAAATTCCAGTCAACTTCAGGTCCTATGGGCTTGTCATTCGGTGACGGGTACCTGGTAGTGAACACCCATGTCGAGGCCTCGAACCCCCCCCAAAAGCCTCCCACCAGCTGGAACCTGAAGTTGCACCCCAAAAATCTGTCTGACTTCGCCGGCTGCATGGTGCTGTGGTCCCTCCCCTCTCTGCGCTCCAAGTCACGGATGGAGTGATCTCCCAGTCGTCCCGACCTCAACGGCTGGAGCGGGAGGTGTTTGGTCTGGCGGTGTTTTGAGCGTTTGGCCGACCAACAGGGCCCGAGAGATGGCAGATCTTCGGAGAAACGACGAGAGACGCTGCTTGGAGGGCCCACGTGAAGGCCTAGGGCCTAAGGAAGCACAGGAACCACACCCAAACACTCCATGGGACTGCCATAGGACTGCCGCCCCAGACAGACCCCCCTGGCACCACCCCTGGCCGTTTCTCGGCAGTCCTATGGCAGTCGCAGACTCGTCGTGTCAGGGACATGAGAGGAACACGCAAAAAGCAGATCGAACCAGAGGGGTTTGGTCGGCCCAGCTCCCGCCTCCGCCTCGAGGCATCGGAAGCTCCACCTGGGAAAGAACAGGGACGGGACGGCGTTTTTTTTGGGGGGTGTTTCGCCCACAGGGTGGGTCCAACATAGGGCTAGCAAGGGCATACGGATACTGGATACTGCATTTCTTATGTATCCAGATGCTCCAAACAGCCCTTGAGGTCTAGGGATTCGAGGGTCCGACCCCTCCATATGAGGGTCCAGGGTCCATATCTGGGTATATAGATAGAGAGAAAGAGAGAGTGCGAGAGTCTTTGACCTCGTAGTGTGGCAAGAAAGCTCCACCAAAGACTCGGGCGGCTACCGCCCGCGCGCCTGGTACACCTTGTGGGGTGACCTCAGCGCTTGGTGTCCGGTATGCTTGAAGGTTGGCCCTTGATCCGTCCCCGCAACCAAAAGGGATCGATAAATCTGGTTGATGTATTTGAAGGGTCTGGGAAGAGACCAATGCCACTTAGAGGTGGATTGATGGGGTTGCCTCAAGAGATTGATGGGGGTTCACGAGTCCATCATAGGGGTCATTATCAAGTAAGCGGGCATCAACCAACCCAAACATCTTTGTCCAAGCTCACCCCCCAAGTCAAGGCCCATCTCGCATCTCACAAAAAATTCGGCCGACTTAATGTTGGATCTTGATTAGTAAAGGGGTCCTCTATAATGCTAATTTTTCCAAATCTATTTAGACCCCCATGGTGAAAAATGGGTCCTGAATAATGCTAATTTGTTTTAGGGACCCTAAATTTTAAATTGGAAACCTAATTAAAAAGGGTTTTAATTCCTTCTGAGGCCAATGATTATGATTCATTAGCTGATATAGCTTTCTCTAGGTTTCTTCAAAACTGACAGCTGACCAAAACCACCAATTCCAAATTAAATCCTGTATAAAAACATTGCACCTAAACAAATTTTCAAGGTAGTAGACCAGGAAGGCACCTGATCCTCAATAATAGACTTGTTTTTGGGTTCTCAAGTGTGAAAAGTTTTTCCACTGGAAAATGCTCATGGAATCTTCCTTTCCTTAGCTCCTGAGGCCAATGATTATGATTCATTAGCTGATATAGCTTTCTCTAGGTTTCTTCAAAACTGACAGCTTTCTCACAGGAATTCTCACAGGAATTCTCACCCAGATTTGTTTTGGTGGTAGTTTATTATCGAGGGTCCCCTATTTGTTTGAGGGAGGGGGGGGCCCTTTACTCATCAGGATCCAACATTACTGGGACACTTAAGAGAGCCCCCCCTCAGATTCAGATCCCTCAATCTGCTCAAGACATCCCGAAAGTACCACCAACGTCCCGACCACCTCAACTCAACCCAATGAGACCGGGACGGTCGCCGCCGGAGGTTGGACCTGGCCACACCGGATCTGACGTCTTCGACGCAGGAGCTGGGGCGAAGGAGTCCCAGTCCTCTTGGACCCGTTCGACGGGCGTCGCCTGGGACAGCCACGCGGTGTCCATTTTGCGGAAGCCACTCCAAACCAACTCGACTCGTCCGTGTCTCGACTCCTGCCCTGCCCTGCCGCCTCAAAGGGGTCTTGGGCGGCGTTGAGGGCCGCAACTCTTCGGCCTTTGGCCGCAACCCCGAGTGGATTTGGTGGGCAGAATAACACAGACCCTCCCTCAAACAATCATGGAAGCTGAGCAGACCCCCCTTGTAGAGGACAATTGGTCTTCCAGGGGCCGAACTGTTCCACTTCCATGATTGTTTCAGGGAGTGTATTCCAACACCTGACTTCACTCACCACCTGCCGCCTGCTAAGTCTCCAAAAGCCACCATATCGTAAAACCTGGCAGTGAGGGCGTTGGTTGATACATGATGATACATCATAACATCTTTTTCTGGGCATCTGATGGTACTGATAGATACTGACGGCCACTTGATTCTGAGTATATAGACCACAGAAACGCTCCATAGGGATGACTATCACAGGTTCAGGATTCCACCGGTCATGTGTCAGCCTCAGTTGTCACAGTTGGTTCGGGTAAAGGAGTTTAGGATGTTCTCAATTGCCATGAACAACGGAAATCATTAAGAAAAACAATTATGTATATATATATACATATAATTATAGATAGGAACTAGTGTGTAAATGCTAAGAAGTCCACCATTCCCTGATGAAAGTACATATATAATATAGATCGATATATGCATATATATATATATATGCATGTTGTATAGTAATAATATATAGTATATATAATTATCTATATACACCCGCAGCCATAGACTTACAGCGTTTGGGACAAAGCTTTAACCAGAGGGAGAGGTCCATGCAATCTCACTGGAGCCTCCTGAACTAGTGCCGAGTGATGTTGTCTTTTCGTCAAAAGTACAACCATGGAAGGACATCACCTCCTTGCAAATGATGGCTAACTTCCTTATACCAAGTTGCAATGATGATTTAGTCACTGGCGGAACGCTCGAGAAAGGAGTTGTTGCCTGTGGCCACCCTACAGAACTTCAGTAGATCCAGAAACACTTCAGTTGCCTCCTTTCTCAAACATTCGGCCGCCCGGCCAAACATTGGGAGGCACTTCGAAAGCCTCGGAGCAAGGCGCAAAAGGTTCGAGTTCAATGGGCTGAGCAGGATCAGGGCATGAGGGATGGTCAAATTGGGTGTCCAACCTGGTGAACAACAATGGACACAAATCTTATGAGCCTTCTCATGCCCAAACAATGCCCCTCCAAACCTCACAAAGATGCACCTGCAACACTTTCAATGCAACGCGTTGCAGACTTCTCTGACCCGTCGCAGCGTCTGGGGCAAGGAACCGGTCCACTGGAAGTCCTCCACATGTTTGGGCGAGGAGCGCCCGCGCGTCGCGAGTGGCGACGCGGCACTCCCGGGCCGCCGGGGAAATGCCTGCGCCCACGAGTCGCTCAGGACCAGTGGCAGTGGATGAGCATCAACCGGATGATCGCGAGGGTGGAAAGAACCCGAGGTAAAGCATGGAAAACTCGATGGTGCTGAAGAAGACATCGGGAAAGGCAGAGGAGCAAAGACATAGGCGCCTGGAGAATGGAAGATGATCCATCTTTGGTGCTGAACTTCTGCTGTCAACAGCCGTTTTTGGAGCAGTCCGACATGTAGGGGATTGGAAATTCGTTTGTCAGAGCCTAGGGCCTAGGCTTTGCAAAGGATGAAGAGCAAGGCATGCTTTGCCAGACATGGCAATGCCAAAGCCATGCCAACCCCCCACGACGCTGGTTCCCAAGGCAACAAAACACATGTGCCACATCATAAAACACTCATGTCTCTCTGCCTTCCTGATCTTGTGATTTATCAACTTGAAAAAGTAGCATCGAAGTGCTGCTTGGTTGGGTCTTATATGATCTTATATAGATGTATCCTTGGGGGCCTTCGCCCGTTGGTCCCCTCCGTGACCCGCCTGTGGCACGCGCGTGGCCAGCTTCACCAAGTCCAGACTGGGCGGGGGACCTGCGAAAGGACACGGCTCCAGGAAGGGATTTCCTGATCGATGCCATCTGGAGCAGCCGATCCTCAGTGAGCTAGCCATTGCAGTCATTGACCCCAAGGAGGCCCGAGGAGCCTGTGAGTAGCCAAACCTCATGTTCGGGAAGCTTTCGAGATCCTCAAATGGTCAAACGTCCAGGGCAGCTGTGCCGGTTCATGCTTACTTGCTGCCAGCCGGTTCTAAAGGCACGCCTGAAATGGGCCCCACCTCTAAAGTTGCATTGGTGCGAGTCCTGTGAAGCTCTACATCTGAGATGTGGTCCCGAAAAAACAAGGCGTCCAATAATTTCGCTGAACCAAGCCAGCGGAGCAATGATGGTATGATATTCTATGGAGAGAAGTGGGTTGCTGTATGTTGCTACAAACTCGGAACTGCGGGTGTCTTTAGAGACCCCATTGTGATCCACCCCATGCTCCATAGAAAATAATCCAAGAGGCAAGCATTGAGCAACACACATTCTGTGGGAGTTTGACATGAATCGCTTGGGACGCTTTCTCATGTTTTATGAGTTGTTGGGACCTCTTTTCACATCTTTTCCTGAAGATCTCCTTTCCAACTTGACACAAGGGTGTCGTTTTTGGGATGTGGGGATAACAAAACTTTCTGGAAAAAAGACCAGATCCCACTCGTGTGACTGATCATACCTACGTCATACATACCCTGGTTATGTTTTGGGGCGCCTTTCGCGCGGTAGAGCGCTCTCTTCATTGCATTCATGGCCAAGCGGATAAAAGCGGATAAAAAAGGGACCAACTCCTGAAATATGAATTCAAGGCCTTTCAGGCTAGAACCTATCGATGCACCGAACATGTAGTCTGTTGGTACCTCCTTCAATTCCACCCACGTTGCCCTCCGTTGGTGTAGTCCGTTGCCCTCCGTTGGCGACTCTACCACCCGGGTCGGTTCGGTAGAGGCTTGCGCCCGCCTCCCGAGGGCCGTCTGGCCTCGCAGCGGTTGCGACATCCGGTGGGCGCGGGCAGGCGACATCCGCTGTGACAAAGAGGAATGACTGGACCCTAGGGCTCCAACCATATCGTCAGAAGGTGGTTAGACCCCCAACCATCTTCGAAGCGGGTGGTGGTTGGAGCCCTAGGGGGAGGTCACAGCGATAAGATTGGCGGGGTGTGAGTCCAGCCACGGTGAAAAAGACTGGAGCTCTTGAACGAAAGGTACCGGTTTCTATAGATACTTTGGGTTGCACCTTGCTGAATGAACAGAAGCGCTGCCCATCTTCAGAGCATCTAAAGACTCTAGTTCATGAACAAGCCCCCTCAGCTCAAAGTGCTGTTATCCATCTTAACATAGCCACTTCTCTTGCGACTCATTGACTTGGGAGATGTGGAGCTTCCTCTTGGAGCAAACATCCATCTGGATGTGCTCCCAGTGCTCCAGGTGGTCCCCAACTCCCAAACGTCGTGACGGTGCTCTCCCAAACGTCGTGGGATGGGGAGTGTCTGACGTCTTTGCGACATGTCCAGTGTCTCAACTGTGTCCTCTTTGGTCGGTTCACGTGGTCGATCTGAATCGCCCTCAATGGGGCCGAAGGGGACGAGGTCGGAGTAGACTCTGAAATGGCCCTTTTTCCAAACGAACTCCTGGCTCCCTCACTTAAAGGTTAACCGTAACCGAGCTTTCCACCGGCTCTGGCTTAGGGTAACATGGGGTTTCACCCAATCCCCGAAATGATACGAAAGACCGAATCCATCACCGCACCCCTGAGTATGCTTGGTCTCCGTCCCAGAACCACCCGAAATTCCTGCTGGATTTCAGGTGATCTGACGAATTCTTAGCGCGGAATGAGAAACCATCAGGAATCCCAAGATACCTCGGGTGTCTTGGGAGGGGGGGAACTAACTCCTTCCAACTCCTTCCCTCCCCACTGACCACTGTAAAAGAGTTACTAGTAGCTTCTTCCTACTAGTAGCGATGCACTTGCTACTAGTTACTAGTAGCGATGCTCGCTCTCTCTCTCTCTCTCTCTCTCCGGTGTTCGCCCGCGAACCGCGCCTCAGATCTCGGAGAGTCGACCGTCAGCTTGGACCTGGCGACGAGCAAACCGAGCGACGAGCAAGGCGAGCGTTCAGAGGGGTCTGAGACGGCGAGGCCGAACCACCCGCCCAAAGAAAGAAAAGATACTGTGTGTATATATATATATATATGTATTAATATAATGGTGTATATATCTATATGAGTATATATATATATATTGTTAAAGTTCAATAACAGAACATAATATGCATTAATAACAATATATATATATATGTGTGTGTATGATGATGTATGTAGTAACACGTAGTAACTATACTAATAGCAACAATAGCAATAACAACAATAATACAAATCATTATGTTTCTTATGTGCTATGCCTGATGGGTTCTGATGGATTCTGACATGTCTGTTTCTCCCAAGATCGAGGAGCTGCAGGCTTTGTTGGAAACACCGACCCGGCCGCGAAACGCGGCCTGGCCGAACGGCTTGGGGGCGTGGACTGCCGTGGCAGGCCTCGGCGATTGGAAGACTTGTGGTGTGTTCCTTTTAGTGGACCACGTCGTTTTGCAGGCTATGCCCTTGGGGCTGGGAGGGGCTTTTGGGGCTGGGAAAGCAAATGTCCCATGAAGCGGAGATGGTTCTGGGTCACCTGAGAATCCATCTCCAAGATGGGCGCTCGTCTGAAAAAAAGTGCGTCACCCAAATCGGGTTTTGGATAGACCGATCGAGCTGCCTCATACATAGTGTGGGGAATAGACGTGAATAGACTACCCTCATACAATTCCCTGTGGACGATGATTAGTGGAGGCCTTTCTCTAAAATAGTGTCTGCGGACTGTTCCAGGTTTCCTGGGACACCCCCAACATACACGACGTCCCGAACTGCCCCGGGTCGGCAGTGGAACTGAGGGGGGGCTGGTTCCCCAGCGTGCGTGTCAAACAGAAATCATCGCCTTCGCAGTGGAAAACCAGCTGACATTGTCATTGCCCAATTCGAGTGTTCGGTTCTCACATGTTCTCACCGAAGATTGAACTCTAACACAAAAATCGGAGCATGATGGCGCATGTAGATTTATGTTGTTTCAATATATAGTTCTTATATATAATATGTATATGCTTACAAATGCTTACATGTATAATCAACCAAGTTGATACGAATCAAAGACCCCCTTCTTTGGGTCTGACCCTCTGGACGGCACACCGAAGCTCTGAGCTTCCTGTCGCGATGACCGAGCAAGGCCATCGAAGCCGAACCTCAGGAGACCGACTCGGTCCCAACGGTGTCGAGCTTGCGGCGTGGTTCCAACGACGGTTTCGGTGTCCCGTCCCAAGCAGAAACGAAACAAACTTGGTTGTTCCAACATGTTGAAAAATACAAACATACAGCAAGTGATAGGGTTCATGTTGGGAAAGGTTGTTTCTGGTTGGGACCGGAAATTCCGGGAGGGAGAAGAGACTGGGGACCGGTTTGAACCCATTTTTTCTGGTCGGAGCTGAGAGCCGCAAGTGAGGCCAGGGAAATCCGTCCGCCCGTCATCCACGGCCCATGTGGGCGACCTGGTGACCGATGCTTCCGGCATCTTGCTACATGCCTTTGACCTGCGCCCACCTCTAAAACTCGAATTCTTCCAAAACCTTGAATCCATCAACCGGCACCAAGCAAAAATTAACCGCAACCCTTGCGACTCCAATAGAGCTGGAACAAATGGGCGACTCCAATGGCCTTTATGTTTCTCCCTGTGAAGAGGGGCAACACAAAATGTTTGACGTCCGGGGGGGGAGTCTTTGCCTGAAATCAGGGGCGGGTCTACCCCATCAAGCACAGAACACAGCCTACCGCCGGCGTCGGCCAACACCGCACGGGCGGTGTTGGGTGCTCCGACTCGGGCGGATGCCACATGCACACGATGCCTGGGGCGGATGCCGGGGCAAAAGAGCACCGGACCTCGAGAAAAAGCAGAGGCTTTTGTAGAATCATATCGCATTTGCGAGGTCCAAGACTGGAACGTGCAAGCATATGCAGACAATCTCAATATCATTCAGCCGGCTCAATATTAAGAATCTGAGAACATCCTCTCCCCCTTACAAGCCACAAGGTTGGGTCTAAAATGATGCAAGTGTTCAGAAATGTTGGCCGGCTGCCCTCCTATCTATGGCTGGTCCATTGTCATTCTACTAGCAAATGGGTTGCCGACTCCCTCAGTTTCCTCTCCTCCAAAAATAAGACTTAACCTTTTTCAACCTGTTCGGGTTTGTAGCGGGGAAAAAGGGGGAAACCTGCTTTTTTGCAGGTTGGAGGCCATCGCTATTGGGGAGGCCATCGCTACTTGGTTGGATTTCTAGGTGAAAGAGGAAACGAGGTGATTCACTTTTCCTGGCGCATGGCTGTATCCACATCCAGGCACATCATCTCCGTGCCATGCCCGTCATCCCCTTTCAAGGCACCTGACTCCCGTGCTGCGTCGCTCGTTACCGCCCCATCCAGCTCTTTTTGTCAAAAGGAGTGCTTGCTGCTGTGATCCCCTCAAACTGGATGGGCCTAGGGAAGAACCAAGATGGTTTAAATGCCTACCAACATGTATTGTCCTCGTCTTTAGTGCAACCCACTTCTATGAAACTCCTCCATGTTAAATGGACTTCGTAGTGTGTCACCAACACCATCTTTTCAATTAAGGCAGTTAAGTTATGTACTGTGCTGGTGGATCACTAGTCCCTCCCTTCTCTTGCTTGCAAGCTGGTGCAGTAGTTGCCACCTGCCTAGTTTGATATGGGATGCAGGCCCCTGTTCTTGAGCCAAGCCAATCAAAGGCTGAACGTCCTACAGAAGGTGGTAGTACAGCGAGCATGCAGTCTGGCAAGCACGTATGATCTCAATGCGTTTATTTGCCTCCATGATATCCAAGCAGCCGGCAATCAATCCCCGACCTTTCTTGATCCCCAAAGCTTACAAAACCACATATATTTTGTGCAAAACAAAACTTGCATGTTAAAATGCAATCTATCTCACAATCTTATACCATCAACGGGAGGGCCAAAAAAAAAGAACTGCCCACGTGTCACCCACGGCAGAGGAAAGTGCATGGGACTGTTCCAAGGAGCTGCTTTTCCGGTGCTTGAATGTGCACACCATCAGAAAGAAACATCGGTGGGTGACCATCTTCTCGCTTCTACAAGGGTGCCGTTTGGGCTCAACAGATTGACCCCCTAATAGATCGAAATGGATGAAAACATCCGGCAGCCACCTCCGTCCACCTCCCATCGTTCTGGAAGGACTGCGTGGGACCCACATATAAATGTATATATATATATATATATGTATATGGGCGACGTGCAACACCTCTTATGTGTCTTTACTCACTTAGTCTTCACTGTAGTGATGCTGCCTTCATTGGAGGTTTTGGCAGTTGCATATTTAAAAAAAAAAAAGTAAAAATATATATATATATATATTATCTGTGTGTGAGTGTGTGTCTCACAAATGTGTCAGAACTCCAACGAACACGTTGGGGGACCGCTATAAGGTCCCATGATTGCGTGAGACCTTACCATGTCAAGTCGACGACCCCACCCAAGCCGACGTGGGATCCGGGTCCGGTCCATTGCACGAAACATGCCCGGCGGGGAGGGGGGTGTCCTTCACACCCAAATGGCTGAGCCAATTCAGCAACCTTTTCTTTCTTTCTTTCTGTAGCGCGAGTAAGACGAACCTGCAGCCCCTATGGCACTTTGAGCCCTGCCAATTCAGCAACCACTCAAAATGAGTCTTTTTATGTCTTTTGGGACCTCAAGCATTTCGAAGCCAAACGCTTCGGTCCATCGCCGACCTAGTCGACCGGGCCAGGTCAGTAGACCGTGCGGCCGCCACTGGCATCAAAGCCTAGGCAGTGGTCGTTTTGGTCGACGCCCGAGCGAAGGGCACTAATGAATCTACAGAAGTTGGAGATCGCAGAGAAGACGCTAACCATGGGCAACGTGAAAAAACGGGCAAGTCGGAAGCTTACAGATTTGGCGGTCACAGCTGACAGTGAAGTCAACTTGATGTCAGAGTGCCGGTGGGCGATCAACTGTAGACCCAATCTCTTTTGTGCTGATCGCAGGGAGGAAAGGTATCCTTTGATTCTCTGCAACGGCTACTGGCCAATACTCAGTCATTCTGGGCCGCCAGGCCACAGGGCTATTTGTCACTTCCATGATGTTTTTAAGGGGGGGTTCTGTCCAAGCTGTGCCCCTAGGCTCTGTAGGAGCAATCCTGCGGCTAAGGAATCGAAGCTCCAGGGCTGAACAGCCAGGGTGCTCATCCGATTTTGCACCAGGAGCAGTTCCGAAGTGTCCAAGGACTCCCGGCAACGCCGGTGACGGCGAAGAACACGGCGTCAGCGGCACATCTTCCACCCGTCAGACCCAGCTGAGTCCTCGGGCAAAATCCGGTGGTAAAGGAACACTCGCCGGACGCGGCGAAGAGCACGGTGGCGGCGACCTGGCGTGTTCTTAAGCAGCTCATCGTGGGGGCCCCAGTGGGGCTGTGGCACAGCAGCGGTGGTCAAGGTCGTTCCAGGCCATTTCGGTCCAAGACGGTCGGAAATGATGCCAAGGCGTCAACGAAGTGCATCAATACCTCCTCCTTGTCCCTGTTTCGGGCCCTTCTTGTGGTTCTGCCCCAAAACTGGAGGTGGATTCCATCCTGCGGGCTGGAATGGATGAAAGCGAAGACCATGAGGCCATGAAGGAGGTTCATCTTTTTGCTTCAGGGGTCTCGGGGCCGGTCGGCTCTGATTGCCTCAAAGAGCCCGAATGACTTGACTATCGTTTGGAGCTGCAAAAGGCCCCTTCCCATTCTCCCATCTCCCATGGAATCGGCATTTCAACCACCCAGGCCTGGATGAAACCGGTCAAACAGTTGGCGGACACTTCTCGAGTCCTTAAGACTGCAACACTGATCAATAGTGGAAAAAACCTCCCCTCGGCTTCTTCTTTTCACCATTACAATTCACCGGCGTTCTGCCCCATCCGCCAGGACTACTCAATCTTTTGGAGCCACCAATGGTTCACACTGGCTGAACTGAAGAAGATCTTCAAGCCAAGCCAGGAAAACCAGCAGTAGAAATCACACCCGACCTGCAGAGGAACCGAAAGCGCGGTCGCCAAGCCGTTCCGCACCTCTTCAAGCTTGGCGGTCCGGCCCATTGGGATCTTGTCAGTCATGTACCTGGGGAACTAAGAAGAAGAAGAAGAAGGACACGAAAGAGTGGCCACCGTGCTGGGGTGAGGTTGTGATGGTTGAAGGGTTTCAAAGCCGGTCGGCTGAGGCGAAGTTGGATAAACTTGTGCTTGGAGCTGCTGTCCAAGAATTGGAAAAGACAAAAACATACAAAAACATCTTCCCCCCAGTTTCGTGGATTGTGGATTCACCCAGTTCGGGGGGTTCACCCCAAAAACCCCCCAAATCAGGAAATGGACGGCCCATGTCCCACGAATCTGCTCATCCACTGAGATCGACCTTCCTTGCTCATCCCTGAGGTCACTTCACTTGCTCTGGTGGCATGGCATCGACCATCCTTGGCACGTGTCTGCATGCGCTGCGATCGGCAAGACATAAAGGCACATAGAGTAGAGGGGTGAGGGTGTGTGTAATTATGTAAATGTATATGTGTGCATGCGTAGACGTAGAACACATACACACATACTTTCGCTACGGCATGCAATCAAAAACCACCTGCCACCGGAAGAAATGCTCCCCGGAGAGAACTAGAGCCTCCAAAAGCCACGACCCAGTGAGTTCAGTCGAAATGAAAGCGACCCCGGTGCACAAGGTGGTCACCCGATTCCATCTCTCAAGAAGCTCACCAAGTAGACGCTTGAGTGCGCGCCAACGGGAAAAGAAACGGGGGTCTCAGATTGGTAGGAGGAACCTCTTCGACATGTAGACTAAGGACATCCCAAAGGCCAGCCTCGGAAGCTTTGGCGCCCCAACGCAGTCTGAACCACCGCCGGGGCAATGCAGTTGATGGTGATATCCTCTGCAGTCGATGGGCTGGGAAATGGCTGAAATGGTTGTCGCTTGGGCAGATCTTGGGTATACCCATTTCATTACCACCAACAGTGGATGATAACGATTAGTAATTGTTTTTTCTCGAAAATAACTATAACGACAATTATATAATCGTTTACCGACTGTTACAGTAATACGACAGACCCACGGCATATCCCATTCACACCGATGTGCATGGGCCGGGGGACCTCATGTGCATCATCAAACATCCTCAAATTTTACAGGACACGAGCTCCGCCCATGGGGTTTTCCGAGCACGACGCGAGCTACAACGGAACCTTCCCACTGGCGGCATAGTCTTTGCCCATGACTTTGGTGAGATTGATCACCGCAGCCTTGAGGAAGGCAGCAGGCTGTGGCAAGGAGGATGAGCAAGGCGTCGGGCTTGGCATGAATGTTCTTCCGCGCGAAATGCAATGATCTTTCATGCGAGAAAAAATCCCCCCGAAGGAGTGACGCCTTGGGTAACAATTGGGTCATTGGGCGATATAAAAGTGATCTCTGAATTGATTTGAGGCTTCTCTCGATCTGTATGGGGATACACTGTAAGAAACCCCTGACGATCGTCAAGATCTTCAAGACATAAGGCTATACCGCATGCTTGGAGGATGTCGTCCCCTTTTAAAACATCATTGACAAATGGCTATCCCAATATATGGTACTTGAGATTCTTCCACTAAACTTCTGCCCCACAATGCCTCACAGTAGCGATCCGTCTCGTTTCTCGACCTCGCGCAACACCGAGTGGATGAGAAACTCAGCGCCTTGGAAGACGAATAGGCCAACATCCCAGCGTTTCCATCCTGCCGAGTCTGAGCACTTCGAACACCAAAAGAGATGAACTGAGCAAAGTGGGAGTCGCAGCTTCTGGCCTTTTGACTCTGACACTCCACAACATCCAACTCTTAGTCTTAGTCATGGGTCCTGCTCCGACATCTTCATTTAACATGAGTCATGAGTATTGTTTTGAAGGCTCTTCAGATCCATGCTACAGCCATTCCAAAGTTTGCTTGACTGCTGCTCCAAACTTGCCAATTTTCAGAAGGCGTGTGGAAAATCATGCAAATGAATACCAGAAAAGGGACACTCGGACAAACATGGTTGAATTGGAGGCCCTGCGTTAGAAGGGGTACCATCTGTTTCTGTTGGCGCTGGCCGTCCTTGCCAGAAATGGAAGCGATGTTCACAATTCGGCCGTAGCCAGCCTTCAGCATGGAGGGCCTGAGAGGGGGTACATACATTGCAGAAACGTCCAGTACCACGGAGTTCAGGTGGTTTATGGACACCCCTGACTAGGTATTTTCCATCCAAGAACCTTCTGTGGTGCTGGGTTATTTGAATGTCAATCACGTCTCTTCCGGATTGACCTTAGAACTGTCGGCCAATAGTCCTCTTTTCACTGCCCTCGCCTTGCACATTAAGGCTTTGAAGCTGAGGAGGCCACAGAACTGTTTTGGCACACAGGAACACAGCTTTGACCTTACAGCACGTGTCAACGCACGGGCACCCGCACGACGAAACCGTCAAGTCGTGAAACAGAAGTGCCCAAGTGCCCTGCCAAGCTGCACGCCTCGATTCACGAAAAACAGGCGCTGGGGACCCAGCATTCACGTCGAAGACTCGTTGGAAGTCGTTCACATCCACCTGCCCCACCGTCATCGCCCAAAAAGAAAACGAGACTCGACCGGAGCTCCGGCGCCGCGGCGCCCAAGAAGAAGTCAAAAGACACCAACGCCTCGTGGGTCTTCACGTTGGTCTTGCCGGTGATGCCCGCCTAAAATCCGAAGCGCTCTCTTGGGGTCGCGGGTCGCTGGTCGCTCAGGGGCGGTCGAGCCGCCGGCTCGACGGGCCGTGAAGAAGGGTGAGGCCCCGAGGAGTGACCGCTGACCACTTGGCGGTGGATCATGGCGCCTGGAGCCCGCAACTCACCCTGGTAGATTGACCAGTCTGTTCATCTGGGTCTTGTGGTCAACCGTCGGGCCCCCCGGCGCCATGACCATCCACTTCTCTGTCTCAGCTCTAGCGATCAAGGCTTCCGGCTTCCGGCCGTGCCATGGCCACTGCTACTGACTTTTGCGACTTCTGCACGCACACACTGAAACAGGACAAAAGTGGGTTTTTACAGTTACAGCATATACTGTCGCACAACCAGAAAGCGGTTGCCCCTTGGACTCCTAGAAAGGATCACCGTTGAACTCCGACGAAGGATCTAACCGGCAGTGAACGTATAGCAAAAAAAATCAAAAAAGTTTTTAGTGCAGGGTGGAAACTCCTCTGTAGGAATTCTATGCAAAGGTTCTTTCGTCCTCAACGTATGTGCATGTCTCAATGATTCTCAATGCATTTATGAATGTTCTTCCATTACTGCCACTTAGCAATGGTGGGCGTTCACCAAAAGTGACTTTGTGCCCGCGAAGTGTTGAAAGGAATGCTCCCACTGTTGCTATATTCATCTATATTCCAAGATGCAAACTATCAACCAAAATCGCTGCAACCAGCCTCTGCCAACCTTGTTTGTGGCCCAAGCTGCCGCTTGCACGAGGACGTCGATGCGGCCGCACTGCCGCAGAACCTCTTCGACGGCTCTCTGCACAGCTGGCTCCTGCACGATGGGCAGTGGAGGTCCTGGCCCCGAAAGGAAGACCATGAAATCCACTACAAGCAGGTGGTTTTCCACTCCACGTAACCCATGTTAGTTGGAAGGACCCAAAGTTCGGTGCGACCGAGACTTCCTCAGCAACTCGCCTCACAGGCACAGGAGTGCCGACTGCCTCCAAGCTCAAACAGCGTTCTGCCCAGTAGAAGACGCCGGAAGAGGCACAACCAAGAGAGGTCAAGTGACCGTAAATAGGACCCGTAACCTGGGGTACCTATGGGATAGCCTATAGGGTTCTTCAACCTCTGTTGGAAACCTTGGAACATGTGCATCGCTGAGAGGGTTTCCCCTGTTGAGCATGCACCACCTGACTGAGCACCACTGGCTCAGTAGAATCACCGACGAGCGTCGTTCGATTCAGGTCGATCAGGGCTTTTTCTCCACCACGACTGTGACTAGGCTGGGCGAGCCAGGTTGACACTGGAGGCCTGGCCCTATAAAACGACCTGCCTAAGGCCAGGCCAGAACTCAAAACCGGTGTCCCTTTCTTGCGGGAAGTGCGCAGTGCAAATCATGCATCCTGAACATGTCCGAACTAAGCCCGCCTATTTGAACAAATTCTCACTATACTGGCATGGTGGGATCTCTTTTTGGAATCAGCTGGCCCTCTTCACGTTCCGGAGGCAGGAGCCCTCCACAAAATCCACCCCGCCACTTTCGCAGCGTAGGGCGAAGCTGGGTCCAGAGGTGTTCCGGGAGACCTTGGTGATGAGCGCCACCTGAGAGATGAAACGATCCACGACCCCACCAGCTGCCCAGCTGTCGGGTCGTAAGGCCAAGACGTGGGCACCTCCAGGTGCGGATCCGTAGGGGGAATCGGGTCAATTGCCGGATGATATCCAATCATTTGCAGTGTCTTGGTGGTTCCAGGTCAACGTCTTTGTTCCATCAACAGTAGGATGGGCCAGGTTTTCATTACTGCCACCTCCACCAGTTCGCCAAAAGCCGGGGTGGAGACCACGAAATTGTTCTTGTCGAGGGCACTTGAAAGAGGGGCGGATCAGCACCGCAAACGACTAGCAACTCCCCAGAACTGTAGAAATATGCTCCAAAAGCATATTGGAGGATAGGGCCATGATCCACTCACTTTTAGGGTCTAGAAGCCACCCCCTTTGGAACTCCCAGTTTCAGCCAATTGTTCAATGAACTATCCTTAGCCCTCACACAGTGTTTATCTTGGCCCTGGGCACTGAGGACATCGATTGCTTGTTTCGCATCACATCGATATGATCTCTCAGCAGGTCTCATTCTTGAACATCTGGCGCTCCCCTTGTGTGCCATGATTCGTGCCTCACCCCGCTTTCGTCGCAAGCTCGGGACCTCTTCCATCAAGCAAGAGACCTTGGGAGCAGATCGTATCATGCAGCCCTTCCAGGCATCGATCAAATCCTCGGCTGTGCCATGGGGCGCGGGGATGACCTCTGTGCCTGTATTTCCTTTGTCGCCGGCGTATCGGCGTAACGGTTCGAAGCAGCTTGTCTGGGGACGAGGACATGGATCATGGATATCACCAATCCCCCGCTGACCGGCCACCGGTAGAGAGTACTCAGCGGGTTGCTGAGCTGGATGGGCAGAGACTGAATAGATAGTGATCGCTCATGAAAGAAAAGCCCCGCAAATGACCTGGATGGTCCTCCACATCTCCTTCCAAGTCTCCAGCTGATAGGAAATCACCTGCCCCTTTCGCAGCTCACCCACCTCCACGGCCGCCCACGCACGGCCTGACGTCTCACTACAGTCGCGGGCGTCCAGGCTCCTGCGCCGGGTCGGTCGAAAGTGGTGTCAACACCTGGGGCATCATGGATGAACAGCCCGAAGTCTCAAGACTGGATGAGCATCCTTGGAGCATCGGAACCTGAGAATCCTTATGAATCCTTAGATGGTTTTAATGAGAGCGACACTGGGGCTTTGATTTGAAGGCCAAAGCCTACGGTCCAACATCTCGCGGCCAATGAGGCTGTAGAAAAGTTACCCGACACTGTACAGTAATATATCCAAAACGTACCTGGAAACTAAGTGTTTCTTGGAAACCAATCCCACATAATATGGTCTTGCCATATCAAAGCCCAGCATTTGCTGCAAGTCCGACGTGTTGTCGCCCCACACAAGGGGGGAGCTCCTCTGAAGCAACGCGTTCTGCTCCTCCAGCTCTTGAATCCTGCAATGAGATGACTGACAGCACGAGGTTCAGTTCATTCGATCAAAAGTCCTCTTCCACGAGCGACAGCGGCTGCGAATTTGTTTTGGTTGCTGGCAAAATATGTTTGGCAAGTTCCTACACGGCTTTCCATGGTTTCCTGTTTTTCACCTACAAACTACAGTAGGATATGAGCACAAGACAAATCACATTAGGAGCGATGTGAGTGATGTCAACGAATTGGAACCCAAGACTTGCCGTTAAATGGAGAAAGGATTTGTCAAGCTGTGCACAGTTTCAGCCTGCTTCGACCGTCGAAGTTCAACATACTTCAGGCAGACAAAGGTTTATGCTTGTCACACTTTAAGGCCAGCGGCGGATCGAATTAAATAATTAACTAAGTCTGATCTTCGTGGCAGGTGTGAGACGGTCAATGATCATAGTTATCACGCCATGTTAAATTCACAATACAAGGCTGTCTGGGGCCACAAATGACCACCCACCCCGTTCCTTGAATGACCCTTTCGGTCACAGACCACCCACCCCGCTTCGTGTTTGGACGACGTTTTTGGGGATCGTTTTTCGTTTTGGCTCGGAGCCCACGGAATGGACCGCGAATCCTTCGCTCTTGTGCTTGGAGCAACTCTTCCAGGTCACTGGGGGGCCGCGTCTTCCGCTGCGGCGTGGAGGTGTTTCTGCGATCACCTGGTGCCACGGCGGATGTTTCATGCAGGAAGTGAGCGAAGAAAAGTGGCTATAGGATGCTTTCGGTGTGCTGTGGAGTGCTGTGGAAAAGCTTGCACACATCTGCTGAATGTAGAAAATTCTAGAAATATTTGTGGAGGTGAAATAGTGCTGCCCTGACCTTCACTAGAGACGCTGTTTAGTATTCACATGTCACCATAAGCTGTTGAATTCTTCTTGGCCCGCGCATCCAAAGGCTTTTGCCTTAGTTCGGGACATAAGTGCCGACGTTTCTGAACAATCCAACCGGTGGGTATTTATGGAAGGATCAACAAGCACCTCTCCATCGCCCTGCGTCGCACCTTGCAAAGGCTCGGGGGCAGGCATGGTTTTCGGCTTCTCCCGCGGTTCCTCGAGCGGAGCACCTGGACGGAGACTGCGCAGATCATTTGTCCATCAGGACGCCTATTGTTGACTCTGCCAAGAGTGCGTGGACCCTAAAAGGCCCTAAAAAGCACCATCTCACCTCACCTCACATCCAGAAGCCTTCCAACGACCGAGGCAAGCTCGATTCGCGAGCGAATCGAACACGCACAGCACCAAGCCGACCCGCCAACCACGCCGCACCTGGCGCATCGGCGATGGCTTTCGGTCCCTTCTTCGACTTCTTGGGAGGCGCTTCTTCAGTGGCTGGCGTCGCAGACGACACGAAGCGCCATCGAAGACACTCAGGTCTCATGTGAATGATTGTTTGCCTCACTTGCCAAGCGGCATCTCCTCACGGATCGCTGATCCTTTTCCAAGGGCCCTCGTTGATTCTCATCGACTGGACTTTGTTCAAGGGAGGTCCAGATGGCACAATCTGAGCAACAATACTTTCAAGGCACATCATGATGCCCGCAGTTGGTTCAAACGCTGGGCGCAGTGGCGTTCTAAGCCTCCTCAAAATCTTCCAAACACCTTTAGTTGAATGCACTCAGCCTGAACATGAACTACTCCAAACAAGAAGTCTTGAAGTACTCTCTGCTGCTGCTGGGGAAGGAACTCACCATGGCACAAGGCTTGAACATTCCTGCCATTGTTGGACCATGGAAAGCCCGTGGCGCCGCCTGCAGCATCAGCGATGGCTTGCGGAGGCGAGCAGACCTGACGGTGATGGCGGCGTGCGCTGCCGGCGTGCGCACGCATGGCGCGATGGCGCCACAGACACCACCTACAGGTCAAAAGCCACCAGAGTTGGAGGCGATCCTCATGTTGGAGGATAGGTGGAGGCAATCCTTAGCCCTAGCTGCACCACAGTATGCCCTTGCCAGCTCTGTGGGCCTTTCACCGCTGTAATTATGCCTCTGTCAACATCATCCCTCCTCAGACAGCCCCTGGTAAAATGATGCTGCTTTGAAATGCTTTGAGGCATCTCTTTACTCCTACAGGAAGGGGAAGGAACTGGAAGAAAAAGGCTCCTCTCCAAACGGCTGAAGCGCTCAGCTTCCCATGCATTGGGCCAACCAACCACCCACCTGCGCGAGGTCGGCAACTTGCCCCGCCACCCTTGCCAAGGTGCCATGATCTCATCTGAGCTCCTGAGAAGCTTGGAGCAAGGCTCCTGTGGGAGCAATGCAAAGCCATCCACTCCCAGCTGCACGGCCCCGGCCAGCCCGGCCAGGCCTCCTTCCGTCACCAGCCTGGGCACACGGCCGATCGGCTCCGGTGAACGCCCCGGAGAACGGCCGCAGCTCCGCAGGTCGAGCCCGATCTGTTTTCTTCCAACCCTTGGTGAAGCGAATGAATTCGCAACAAAGTGGATCAAACTACCCTGATCTGCAATCCGAAGCAGAAACCAAGTCATCGAGTCATCACCCGATCCACTGATCTGCCATCTGCAGCCCTGTCTCTCTTCGACCCGTCCCGTGTGCATCGAACCACTCTGAGCATCGAACCACTCGGCCAACTCGGCAACCGTGCCCTCCAACGCCTCGAGGCGTTGCACACGATTCGGCGCGCGAATCGCGTGCTTCTTGGACTTCGTGAGGCAAAATGGCCCAAACGACGCCAACTCGGGGTCTAACCCATTTTCGATGGGAGGCCAAGTCAACACCTGAAACAAAGAACGACCCAAGTGTCGGACTCCGCGTCGCTGGAAACCTGACCCCCCCCAGGTCCAGGTCTGGCCTTCTTGCGGGAGTCCCCGAACCGGAAAAACCGATGCACGCGGCGCATGGGAAAACCCGGCTTGCCCCGTCCGAGCGCTGGCTCCCAAGAGGGGGAAGTTGAATAGATCACAAACAAAATATATATATATATATACCTAGAGCCTAACTGACCTCTGCTTTGATAGGAAAAGACCATATTTTGGATAGTTGATCCTCCAAAATAGAGGTCACTCAGGCTCCAGGTATATATATATATATATCTATTATATGTCCCTTTAGGATTTATGTATTATTACTATTATATGTCCCTTTTTGTATGTATTTTACAATTTGGATTGTATAATTCATGTGAGCCCCAAACCAATTTTATGGATGCCCCTCACTGCCCTCAGCGTCATGACACCTAGCACAAGAAGAACACGCCCGCGCCCCTCGGCCTCAGCCGGCACGGGCACGGTCTCCGGTGCGCGCGAACGCGCGCGGAGACCTTGCACGCCAGCACGGCGCTTGGCCGCTTCGACCCGAAGAGACTGCACCGCACGGAGCTGCAGCACCGCCATGGCGAGCTAAGCAAGTGAATGAACGAGCTAAGCCGCCCAGATGATGCGCAAAAATGTGCTGATCTGTGCAAACATGTGACTTCCTGGGATTTCCTGGGAGGGCATCTCTGATGAATCACGGAAGGAAATCTTGTGCAAATGTGGGGCGATCTCAGTGGACTGAGAAAAACGTACACCCAAAGGCTGACAGAGGACCAAACTGGTAGAATATGATCTTCTGCTATGTTTCAGAGGCGGAGCAACTACACCGCAACTCGAACCTAAGACGTTCATTGACAACAACTAGGGTCTCCTCGCATCGCTCGGCTAGTTGCAGCTGAAAGTCGTTGCGCAAAGTGTCTGTAGTATCTGTCCAAGATAGATAGGGTCAGAAGAATCAAGACCAACCAACGTGGCCAAGATGGTGGGCATGTGCAGGGGTCATACAATAATAGATTATTGCTTCAGGCCTCCAAGCAATCAATCCTTGAACAATTCAGACCGGTGGTGCAAGGAACACATGCTTCAAGCGCACGCCTGCTAAGGTTCTTATATGTTTGACCGTGTATGGCCAAATGTCAACCTCCTGGTTCCTCAACCTCTAGCACATCCACGTGAAAATGAACAAATCATCTGCAAAATCATGCGCACAAAAAACACAAATAATATGCCAACCCTCTGACAGCTTGAGAGGCCCTTGACCGCGAAGCTTTCCCAGCTCTCCTCGGCCAAATCCAGTTGCAAAGCCTTCGTCATGATGCCGGGCACGTCCTGCTTGCGATTTACTCAATCCATGCAGGCCAGCCTTTGCACCATTAGAGTTGCAATCCAAAACGCATGTGCCACAGAACAAGATTGGGTTGTGTGTGGAACACGGCCGGAAAGGTCAGGTTAAGTTCATGTTGGGTCCGGACACTTAAACGCTTGCTTTCGGAAGCTGGGATGAACGTTGCATTCGGAAACTGGGAGCGTGGGGTTCGGCCACTGGGAAGGTTGGGGTACGGAAAACTGGGGTTCGGAAACCGGGAACGACGTGGGTTTTCGGAAGCTCGAACCTTGGGATAAGAAACTCACAACGTGCACTTCATACAGTCCTTGAACTCTTGCTCACATGATGTCACGGGCAACAAGCATGGCTGAACCCGATTACACCCGGAAACCCGGCCGGAAGCTCGCAAGTAACGGGCCGCACCGTCCAAGTCGGTGAACCCTTGGTCTCCTTCTCAATGGTCTTTGCTGCTTGTGAACCGTCCAGCTTGTCAAGAATCCACCTGATGATGAAACAGGGTGCCAACAAGGCGAAGGTGCCATTGTTGGCACGCCTCATTTCCCACTCGGACAAGATGCACGCTGGAGTTGGATGGAGATGGCCTATACAGTAATTTGTAATACCTAGAACTCTGAGCAGGGGTCAACTATTCAACATGCTCATGGAAAACGGGCTAGAGGAAGGGGGGGCGCATTCCCTGGCTAGCATAAATACAAATACATGGTTTGAAAGTTCATGTGGTGCAAGACAGAGGGCCGGGTGGTTGTTGTTGATGAAGGAGGGACCTCACCTCCACTGCATCCAACAAATGACCATCGATTTCAGAACCAAAAACAAACAATCTTCAGCACGACGACATCATGACTTATATATATATATATACATCTCTTCCCCCCCAAAAAAAACCGAGCCTTTCACCTACTTCAGATGCCTGTCTTCTTGCCGTTCCCGCGGGCTATTTCCGTTGTTTGGGGCTTTTCCGTCTCCCCTTGGAACCGTAGCCCCAAACAGCCCGTTGGTCGCTGCTGGGCGTCCGGGCACGGCGCGAGCACCTTCTCTCGCCAAGGATTGAGCGATGGCAAAGCCAATGCCCTTGCAGTCGACATGGCTTGAAAAAGGCAGATGTCATTTCAATTCTAATTCTATAGCAAATTCTTATACACAATTTCTAATAGCTTCTTAGTTACGTTCGTAGTATGGCCAGGAGCCCCGTTCGTAGCGTCCGAACGCTCCGTTCGTAGCGATGCCAGGAGCCCCTAATAGCGTCGTTAGAGCATGAAGAGGGAATGAATATCCCGACAGCTACCGACAGCGCTGTCGGTAGATGAAACCTGGTGGTCTACCCCCTAGGATTTCAGTATGGTGCAAGCAAGGGGTGTGAATGAGGAGGAAAGAAGGTTACCAAGAGAGATTCCGGTGGCTGGATCCAGCCACCCCCATTCCCAACTGAGCACCAGTCAGAAAAGACTGGGTTGAAGCTGACACCCCCCGTCAAAGCATACCCCGTGTCAGAGTTTTTTGGAAGACGCTCCTTGACTAGCAGTAGAGGATGTGTTTGGTTCAGTTTTGAGGATGCAAAAGATTGAAATCAAGAAAACCTGCCCTCATGCCAATACCGACCAACTGCAAACTATAATTGCTGACTCTGCGCATGTTTGATGCCTCAAAGAGGGGCACAGCAGCTCATAGGAGCTCTTCAATTGTCGATCAACCATATCCATCCATATCCAGTATAGGCCAGCAGTACTGCCAGCAGTGTCAAAGGGATGTCTTGTGGACCTTCTTTGGCCTTCGGGCCTGGCCACCGAGGCACCGGATCTGATACACTTCTACAGAGCGGGATATGATACCGACCCGGTCATCTCTGAGCAAGTTGCTTGCGCACCACCGGTCACCACGCAAGCCTGTCAAGCTCACAGCGCAAGACTCACTCAACAAGAATAAGAATCAACTCTTTATTAATTTCAAGAGCAGCCATACGGCCTAGCTAGCCTAGCTTCAAGAGCAGCCATACGGCCTAGCTAGCCTAGACGGATGAAAAATTGTCTAAATGAACACATGATGTGAAGAGACTCCGCCGGCCTGCCCTTCAAATCGACGAGCGGCCGAAAGCACTGGACTGGCCGAGAGGTGATTCCTCGGCGCGACTGGACGAGGCCAGGAAGAGCCTCCAAGGCGCAGAGGAGGTTCATGATGTGCACTACCCTTAGACCCCTCGCGGAGTCAGGCACGCTAAGGGCTAAGGGCTTGGATGGTTGGACATGTCCAACGCAGGAGGCGGGAAGCTTCGGCCATATTTGCGGAGCTGGCACTGGGACAAAGAATGGTCCAGGTCTATAGGTGTTTTTTGTCCAGGAAGATGTGATTAATGCCATTAGATGTGCCCTTGTGAAGGGCATTTAATGCCCTTTTCAACTAAACAGTTCGCCGATGTTTGCTGCTCGTGCCGCTGGGTGCCCGTCGCTCCTCAGTAGTCCTCACCGCTGGGTCCCAGGCACCACGGTGCATAAGCGGCACAGCGGACCTCGTGTCTGGCCTTCCGTCCCCCGGGCGAGCGAGCGATTGGGTGGACCGTCTCGAGCTGAGAAGAACACCCAATGCTGGGCAGTTGTATTCTCCCGAAAGGTGCGGGACTTCTACCTCTAGTGCACCACTGTAGAAGTGGTAGACCATGGGATGTGGGGGACAGGCAGAGAAAGCAAGTGATGAGACTCGACCAACTAAGGTATCACTGAGATCAACCAGTAACCAATCGAAAACAGACCCCAACATTTTTCTAGACAGCTCCAACTGTGACACACCCAGCTCGATCATCCAAGTGGATGGTGCAACCCAAACCAAGACGGGTCCAAGAAAAAAGGGCACGTGGTCGAAATCACTGGGATGGTCCACGTCCACGTCCATCCGCCCTGTTCGGCACAACCACGCCGACTTGATCTCTGAGACGAGAGTTACGCGCGTCGATCTGCTCACTCGGTCAAATCCCGCGACACCCCCGCGACACCACCTCTTTCTTCAGCTTCACGTCGGTTCTCCCACGGCATCTTCCAAAAAGCCCGGTGGTATGTTTGTTTTTCGGATGTGTCAGTGAAAAGCCTGCCGAAGCCACTCCAGCGACCATGTTCAGAGGGAATCCATGGTCGTACTATGGTCAATCCACTCAACTGGTCGTGCAGTGATGCTTTGCGGCTGTGGCTGTCTGCAAACGATCCCAATTCGGATGCTGTGAGAGGGTCCAAATTCCAGTGAGCCGGAAGATGCGGACGTGATGGTGCGGTGAAAACGAAGTCCGATTCAACTAAGCATGGACTAACCCTCGGATTCCAACCACCAGTTCAATGGATCTTGACCGAGCAAGAAAATGGCTTTTCTATGCTTTTCTGTGTCTAGACATGGCGGATTTGACACTACAACACCAGGTCAACCTGTCAAAAGGTCTTTCTGAAAGCTACTGCTGCCAAGGCTGCCACCCTCATCGGTCTGCCATCAATGTTCCGGTGAGTTGGTTGGACGTGCGGTGCCCCGAGCGGCGGCCAAGGTACGCTTGTCTCCAAGATGCGCTTCACAAAGCCCCTGCAACAAGCTGCATCAGCTGCTTTTGGTCTGACCACGTTTCTTTTAACACGACCCCCTGGCATGCGCTTTTTTTTGCGGCACCTGTTGGCCAGTTGTTGCAATAAAGTCACTCAGCTACTCTCTTGGCAGCGGCTTTGAAAAGGCTGAACAGGCGAAATCAGGTGGAGAAGCAGTCCTCATCCTCCTCGGCTAGAAGCTCTCGCACCTCTTCGTACTGAGGACTCTTCTGAAGTCCAAGTGCTTCGAACTGCCTCTTGGCCAACAAGAATTTCTCCCTGGCCTCTTCCTGCTTCCCTTCCTCGCCCAGCAGTTTCCCGCGCTGGGTCAACAGGTCGAGGTACCACGGATTGCGGTCCTGAGCGATTCGGATAAACAACGCCTCTGATTCTGCGTACATGTCTCCTGCCAGTCGATAGTCCTCCTCACAACCTGTGGATGCACTGGCCACACTGGCCTGGTCACTCAGGGTATGAGCCTGCGTTGCAACCTGTGCACGGCGATGATAGCTGATACCTATGCTCTTGAGGATGTTGCCATACATCGCGGTCTCGGTGTAGTGACTATCTTCGAATGCTTTCTTGGACAGCAGCCCCATGTCAATAGCGGCTCCTACATCCCCCTTCTTTCCATGCCAAATGCTGAGATCCCCAAGAACTTCAGCATAATGGGAAGAGGTCTTTGAGAGGTCATTCTCTTCCAGCAGCTCCTTGGCCTGCCAGGAGAGCCTGTAGGCATTGTCAAAGTCCTCTTCAAACGCCTGGTGATTGCTGGCCTTGGAGTAGGACATGCCGCGGTATGTCAACAGTTTGGCTTTCGCCCGAAGAAGTCCAATGAGCGCTAGGGCATTCGACTCGCTCATCTTGCTAGATGCGCCATAGAAGGCTTGGGCTGTGTCGATGCCGGTGTTCAGACTTTGCAGTCCCTCATGGTACAGCCCGATTTGGTTGCACATCCAACCAATCTGAGAAAATCCAGTCAAGCATCTATCCACCTGCAACTCCAGAACCCCCAGCCCGCTATCAATGAAGCACTCATGCAGTTTTGTGTACAACATGCAGGTTGATCTCCTTGCAAGCTTCCTCAACTGCAAGCTCATCTGCGCCTTTGAGCTGATCCTTCAGCAGCGCATCTAGCTGCTGCTCGTCCAAGGCAGAACCAGTCAAGATGTTCATCACATTCCTCCGGCTCGGTGATGGCTCAAAAGATTTGGAGATGACCGTTCCCAAAAAATAAGCATACTGACAAAAGAAGACATGTTCAAACCCCTCCCCCAAAACCGAGTCCTCCTATAACGGGCCTGCGCCTTTTGCACCCGCAGTCTCGCCTCAAGACCTCAGAAAAGGACTTCTCGTCTGACTCGGGCAGGATGAATTTGATGTTGTTCATCCGATCCCATGTAGCACTCGAAAATGGTCGCCCGGGTCAAATAGAGTGGGTTGTCCCATGGCGTTATTAAAGCCAAGATCTTTCCAATGTTCTTCATCTTCCAACGGGGGCATCGAACGCCTAGAAAAATCTGACAGAATGACAGAAGTCAAAAATAATTACAACAGAAGCTCTGGGTGTGCTTAGAGAAACCGACCTTGTCCGCGAACTCAGCTTGAAAGTCTTCAAAGGGCACCTTGGCCCCTTGAGCCACTGCCTCCTGCACCCGCCACTGGTTCACGCAGAAGGCACAAATCCACACGCGAATCTGCTGCGGGGTCTCGCGAAGCCGCCGACAGTGAGTCATCAAAGTATTGGAAATGGTGTGAACTTCATAACCCCATGTGTAGGACAGCATGCAAGTAGCTCTCCCAGAATGCGGGTCCCTCGCTACATCCACATATGCTGCCCCAAGCTTCCCATCTCGTGGACAAATCACCTCCTTCCCCACCTTCCGGATTTCAGGTTCGATGTCATAGACTTTTTGCTGCTTCTCCACTTGGAGCTCTGAGAGCATCCCACCACAAAGGAACTCCACAGACAAAGCTAGGGATGACCATCTCCCAGCGCCACTCGATGCGGCCCATGGCCGGATGCACCACACCCCATCCGGAGGAATTGAGAGGAAACGCTGAGAAGTTATGAGAAGTTGCTTCCGCCTTCTGGCCAAGAAACAAGAAGCCGCAAAGGTTTGTTAGGACACGTTTAGACACTCGGAAAGAAAACCGAAAGTTAGTGACTGCTGAGAAATGAGCAGCAGAAGATGGGCCATCACCAGGAACACTCAAGAAACACACTCTTGCCCCTTTCGTATCTTGAAGTCTTCAACCTTCCCTTCTACCATCCATCTTCTACCATCTTCTACCTGCTCCTGGATGGCCCGGGGAAAACCCGAAAAAACGGCCCAAATACGGATCATGGCACCTTTTCCAAGGCATTCTGCCTCTGAGACGACTGGCCGCACTCTTCGCTGACCACTGAATTCTGCAGGCTGGTTGCGCTTTGTTTCATCGGCGGCCCAGTGTTGCCCGCGTTCTTAGAGATTTCACGGGTATGGCATCCATTCGGGTTATATAATTTTGGATAGACGGCACTTCAAACCAGCTACCGTAGTATATCTTCGCGACCTTCACGACCGGTCAGATTCTGCATACTTCACACTGTTGGAGGTGTGGAGGGGAGGTTCTGTGAGTGCTGCTTGGAGATGTTCATGGTTTTGGAACCTTTCATCTGTTGGGGCACATGCTCAATGGCAATCTGACATGCGTCAGCGTCACTCATGCACTTTAGACCACTTAGGACCCTGTACAACATGTACAACCAGGTCTTTGGGGCCACACCTGGGAGGAACCAGGTGCTCAAATGGCGTCGCTTACGAACACCAGAGCAACCCAGCCGTCTGCAGCCCACTCCACTGCAGACTTTCACATGGCAACCAACCCAAAAAATCGACAGGATTAATTTTCTGCTTATCTGCTCAGCACGTGTAACCAACTGCTATGCTAAAGCCGTCCCATTTGGGAGCACTGGTTCTTAGCACTTGGATCTTCTACAATGGGTTCTTGAGTCTGGAACAGGCGGTGGACCCAAGTGTTTGGACTCCAAATCCCGAAGTGGCGAGCTTCTTGCGATCCCTGCTTCTTGCCCCATGCGGAGGACCGCCTAAGGGCTAATGATTAAACACAACATACCAGAACTCTTGAAAAAGAAAGTTCAACAAGCGAACAATGTGTCACATGACACGTGTGTCCCTTTTCTCCGCCTCCGTATTGGTTTCCGAAGTACCTCCTGTTTCCAGGCTCAAGTACCTTTCGATCTCGCGGGAGCTGCCAGAACTTGCCGCTGCTCGGCAATGCTGCACAGCTCCCGCAGGTTGGAGTCCTTGACCTCGCCGCAGTACTTGACCCGCGGAACGGCGAAGTAAGCGGCACGGGAAGAGTTGGGATCAAAACAGAGTAAATTGGATTTAAAAACAAGAACCATGAAAGAATCTGTATTCACGTGATACATCTATATGTATATGCAAAATTATGTGTATTTATGCATATAAGACCATGTAGGCAAACGGGTGAAAAACAATATAGGTTGTGATAGGTTGTATGTATACACATCGCCTTTGAAATGGGGTGTTCCTTGTGAGATGTTGCACCCAGTCAGGGTTCCACGTAATTACAGTAACTAGTTCGTGAAGTTGTTCCGGCCCAAACTCTTTTGAGTGCTTTAGGACTGGAATCCTGGTTGGGGGAATGTCCCCACAGAATGACCTTCAACGACTGCCTGCGCCACTGGGCGCAAGCGCGCCGCGAAAAACCAGCGACCAGACACGCCAGCGACGTGACGCATTTTTGGGGACCAGTCAAAGGCTCGCAAAAATTGAAGCGCAAGCAGAAGAAACTCCGTCAAGTTTGCAGGTCAGGTCAGCCAGAGGGAGGGGAGTCACAAACGGGAGGAGGAGGGGGAGGAGATGTGTGATGTTTGTTGCTTCTTGTACCAAGTTTTGCTTCCCTGCTTGACCCAGATGCTTCCCTTCCAAATATGCAAAATATCGTAGGAGGTGGCATTGGCCACTGCCCTGTGCTGGTTAGGGGGGGAAGTAGCTCCATCAATCTGTCACTTGGATTCAAACAGGGTGAGGAGGTGCATTTGGGCATCTGCAATTCCGCTTCCTGACAAGGGCTAATGAGTAACAAAAGTCCTTCCACACCCATATCAGGGCGCGCAACATGTGCCAAGGACAAGACCGGCCTCCAGAGACAAGAGACCTGCTACAGGTTCCTCGTGTTTTTTTCGTTGGTCCAGCGACACCCAAAACCATCCAGGAAGTCGTTGCGTTTCCGGCCTTCTCCAAGAGTTCGTGTCTCCGTGGCGTGTCTGGATCGCGTGGCGTGATCCGTGGAGTCGGCACTGGCGCCGGCGCTGGCATGGGTGGCAGCTCTGGCACTGGCGGCACTGGCGACCTGAGTGCGTTTTGAACTGGTGGTTGGGTTGGGGGTTAGGTCGGGTGCTTCGGTGAGGGATGCCTCCCACAAGTCACGAAAACAAGCCACATGAACAGACTGCGGCTGAGATCACATGCAATGCATGGAACTGCTGAGACAGGGACCCTTGCAGCGATGACGGCTTTATCCTTGGAGAGCTCGCTGGCGCCTCTGCCTGCAGCGACGGCCCACTTCCCCCTTCAGAGTGACGGCCAACAAGGCACCCAATTCCATTGGGATTCGTGTGCGCGGAACGTGCCCGGATCCACCGGCAAAACCGGCCGCCTCGAGCTCTTCGACCTCCTCGATGCGCCTCAACTCGGTCGGAGGGGCTCGCACCTGGGCGGCCTGCCTCACGCTCTGCGACCAGGTCTTGCTGCCCAGCAATAAGTCGCCCCGGACCCGGAACGCGGCCGCTTCCGCTGGGATGGACTCGTCCGACCGATCGTGCGGCAGTGAGGTCGAAGAGGAGACTCTCCTCAGAAGGCGAACGAAGCCCGAGAGGAGAGTAACTGTACCAGCACAGGCTAGTGTGAAGCTGTGCTACAGTGCTACACCGCAAGTCGTTGAACCAACGAACCCGGACGGTTGATGAAACGGCTTCAGCCAATCGCAAGTGATTGTTTCGAGTTCAGCGACTGAAGGACTGAGAACCCAGCGCGCTCACTGGAAGAACCTGGCATGCAAATCTCAATCATGTCCAGTCCTACCTGCCTCATCCTCTCAGTTTTCTGCTGGCAGTCGTGATTTTGGTGCAGGGAGGATCCCATCCCACGCACATTATATTGTACCATGTTATACCTGGTTGATTTACTTCAAAGTTTAGTTTTGACCCATACGCAAGCTTGTCACAATACCCATGCACCTCCACTGGGGCTTCTTGTGCAAAGCTTTCGGGCGAACCCGGCGTCTGTGCCAAGATCTCCTCGCAGACTCGCTACCCGCTCATACCCGAACACTCCATGTGAGGTCACGGTGGTAGTGGTGGTAGGCACACCGTGACAGCCGTTTCAACGCTTCGGCGCACCGGGACTGCCCCACTCCGTCCGGGACTGCATTGCACAAACCAGGCTAGCTTGCCTGTCCAAACATCAGAAGTACAGTGGGTTCAGAGTAGATGGCACAATCCCCTAAAGGATCCTAAAGGTGGTTTATATGGACCCCCATCTAAAAGACATATAGGGGTTTGTGCCATCTACTCTGAAACCACTGTAATTCTGCATTTGACTTCAACGTTAGTCGGCCCACGTTAGTCGGCCAAAACGCCATCCGCACACATCAGGCATCACCACAGCGCACTTCTTGCGTAAACCATGTAAACCCCGGTGCTTGGCACACCCGTTTCGGCAGGTCTGAGAACAAACCCCGTGACAGGGCTCCACCAGTTCAAGCTCTACAGTGTCGTTCTTGGCGGCTTTGGAAGGCCAACGGGCCGCCGACGAAACACCGTCCGAACGACCCGAGCGACACGAGCGACGGTGGGATAGAGCTTGTGACACGAAACAAAGAAAGTTCCTCTTTCTACAAAACTACATAACAGCCAACATGGCAGGTCATGGAAGGTGAAATTGGACGAACGAACATGAGGTTCCTCCTTTGGCAGGTGATGTTACACTGCTTCGGTGCTGTCCGGGACGTGTTCGACACCTCGACCGAGCATTCCTCGTCGATTTGGGCAATCTCCACCCTGGTCTCGGGAGACTCCGCAGCTTCCGCCAGTCCATCCTCGCCGAGCAGGTGCACAACACACATCCGATCGAAGCGAAGTAGAAACGAAGCACTCTAGCCCTAGAGCTCCTGTCCCATCTCCTCAGGTTCGGTGGTTAGACCCCCCAATCCCACTCCAACCATCTTCTCAGGGGGTGGTTGGAGCCCTAGGGCTATATGAAGGTGGACAGCCTTTGGAATGCACCAAATCCATCGAAAGACGCGACCGTTTTGCATCGACAGAAGAGACCGCCTCCTCGATGCCAGCTTCCACCTCATCCACCAACACATCTTCCTCACAGAGACGTGGCAGACGACAGCGCTGGGTTCGACAGCGAGGCTTTTTCGATCCCTTTCGGCCCGGCGCTTCCGCGGCGGTTCGCCGGCGCAGAAGGGAATCGAACCGGATCGAGACGGTGATCGACGGAGGTGAGATGAGACCTTTTCGGCAGTTCATGATTAGCTTCGACCTGCGCAGGCCCACAGAAATCAACGGCCACGCTCATGTCAAGTAGAATGTGCAATGTTGCGCTCCTATTGGAATTCCTGCCATGTGCACAAGTATCGGGAAGCTTCAGGCCCAAAAACATCAAAAACTGGGCTTCGCGTCGCAAAACCGGAGTAGAAACGTGTTGAAATGCAAGAAACTCCTCAAAACCAAGGGTGTTATATGCATCATACTATATTACATCATATATCATTCTTTAGTGTCAGGTGTCCTGCTTCATTGAAGGTGATGTTATCCCAGAATGCTGTGAGTCTTCACACTTCTGAAATTTACCATGCACTCAGTGGTCCTTGAAATGAATTTTCCCCAGTGGCCCTTGTGGTCGCGGACTATTTTTCGCCTGGCACCCCTATGCAGCCCTCACAGCCATCTGCCAAGGTTCAAGGCTACTCACCACTTGGCTCGCAGGACGCAAGGGTGGCGGCACGTGGACTGAAACCTGCATTGGAACGCTGCGCCCATCCAAATGCAGGGGAAGTTTGCTGCTTAAACCATTGACCAACAGCTCGTTGACGCCAATCTCCGTCTGTCCACGCAGGTGGGCTTTGTCCATCTTGTTTTGGTAGACCTCGCGAGGCGTCAGGGAGCGGATGCCTTGGGCTCGTGGTTCTTCGCTTCTGGGAAGGTCATAGGGGCGTCCATTCAAAGGCACTCCAAGGAGGTCCTCAAGCCCCAAAAACAAGACCCTGACGAACAAAGGCAGGAGCAAGGCCAGAGGTGATCTCCGATCAGTTCTCAGGATGAAACTGTTTCAGGGCGATCCGCTGCTCTCTTCGAAGGTCCGCTGGTGTTTTCTTGTGACATCGGCCGCCACGAAACGTTCAAAACCCAAAGGAAAAACCCATTGGGCTGCTCTTCAGAAGGCCACAGTGGCACCACTCGTCACGAGAACCCGGCTTGATCTGGGATGGATTTTATAGTATTGATCAAAGTCATGTATAATTTGCTTAGTATTGCGAACATTTAACACTTCCAGAATGTACAAATGATGAACAAAAGGCTGACAACTTGTTGAAGCTGTTCGTCTGCAAAGCAACACAGAATCATACATAGCCATAGCCATATACCACTCAACAAAACCTAAGGCTGCGGTTCAACACGAGCCCAGATCACCCGCAAGGGTCACGTATGACCCATACGGACCGATCCACCCACCCATCATGCAGCAAAGCGAACCGATTCGACTGTGCCAAGCGGCAGAGATCAACATCAAGTGACCTTCTGTAGCTTTGAAAGACTCCTCTGTGACACCTGGCCCACTCCGTCTTGAAGACGAAACCAACTCAGTGCCAAAAAACTTTTCACGTTGGTGCCTCTCTCTCTATATGTATATATATATATCCATTAGAAATAGGCCAGGGTTGGTCATCTCGTGGCACCATAGTCACCTCCACACGGTGGTGTGATTTGGGCTCAGGTTCAAAGTCTGAACTCTCTACGGATATACATCTATCGGGTGATGTCCGGGGATGTCCGTCGTCAGTCTCACCACTTCCATGTCAATCCCCGACAGCGGGGAGAAATGGCCGTCTTTCAGCGAGTGGCGAAAGGCGTCGTCTTTCTGCTGAAAAATCACGCGGCTTTTCGGGCGGCCGCCCACTTCAATGGTCACGATGAAGAGCTTCCTTGAGACACAAAAAGATGTGTTCGACTTCGGCGTCGACGTTGTTCCGAAACTCCGACATCTTACGGATTCGCAACAAGGATGCGAATCCGTAGAACTGCCACAACAAAAAGGAAGAGGAGGCTCAGGATTCACATTACTTTATTCTTTGGCAGGGTGTGTTTTAATTTCTTATAATTTCTTCAGTCAACCCATGCCTTCACAACTTCGAGGCATAGCTGCATCACAATGTGCAAAAACATGCAAAAACAGCATTTAGTTCAGCTGTGCACCCCTCTTTGACGTCTTATTTTCCCCTTCTTGGCCATGCATTGTTCAACCTCAGGTCCTTCTTGCTTAAATTCCCTGTAATCTCTTCTTAGCTTGCATTCTTTCTCCCTAATCAAACGGACCCGCTTTGAGCTAGCTTTTCGCAAAACAAGTTCTCGGCTGTGCAACAAAAGAAGCAGCTAGCAAGTAAAATCAAAGTATACTGCTTCTTTCTTGGGCAAGTCCAGTTGCTTGCATGCGTTTTCCTGCGTGCTGCACGCGTGGCCGGGTGGGTAGGTCTGTCTGGGTCGTACGTGCCGACTTCTGGGCCCCTTAGTTTATGCTAAAACGCCGCCAAGAGCGCTGGTGTGCTGTGAATAGTTTTTTGATTGGCGTGAACAAGGCGTTCCGGGTTCCCCTGAACGAGCTGGCTAAGGAAGGAAGCAACATTTCAAGCCGCAGATCGAAATATATCAGTGAGAACCTTTGATCCCATGTCAATGTTTGGTGGCTCTGCCAAACCCAAAGAAAGAAGACCTAGACATCGCTCGGGCTAGACGGCAAACGGGGCCACATGGACCCTTAGAATTTGATCCATGGTTTCGACCGTCTTCCGAAGACCAACGCCATGTGGTTGAAAAGGCTTCCATGTGGTCGAAACGGACGGGTAGCATTTGGATTCTTCCCTTCCGTTCGGCTCGGCTCGGCTCTTCCTTCGGCCATTCCCCAGACATTCCGCCCAGGAGCCGGGTGCTCGAGCGCTTTCGCTCGATGACTTCCAAGGATGCAAACTTCACCTCATAGGCGATGATCGAATCCAAGGATGGCCATGGTAGGATGTGGTAAGCCGCCTGAGGATGGCTACTTGGAAAACGCTTCCTTCGGGCATCTATCCAAACGGCTGTGGTGACAACCATCCACATCAGAAAGATCAGCACCAGTGGCCGTATCCTTGGTGCAAAACGAAGACTGCCTCATCTGTCTGTGGATGCCAGAACACCTGGAGACTACACTGTTGCAGACTCAAACAGAACTGCAGGCTATATAATAATATATAGTTTTTAAAAAATTGTAACTGGTAGACTGGCTAACTGATGAAGCGGCGCTAGTTTGCTCTCAAACAAGTGCCAAATGCTCGCATCTGCAGTAGTTGTATGTTCCTATATTGCTCATTCCAACCATTCATGCTACACGTACACTGGTAGGGTCTTATCGCTGGTCCATGCCAGCCAATCTCGGCATCCATCTGGATCCATCCGTCATAGTCCTTCTCTGTCATCCCTAGCCCAAAAGAAGGCTTAATGCAAGACCCCCACCTACTATCGCTTGGAGATCTAGAGCGGGTTCCAGGGCATCCTTTCTGGCTGCTCAAAAGGAACACCGCCATCCCCAACATCCGCCAGAACCTGCTGACCAAGCGTCAAGGACAAAAGGATCCCGAGAGTGCTCGTCATGAACCATTTGGTTCCGTCGCTCGAGCTGGTCGATGCAATGAAGATGCACACCACCATTATGCAAAGCAGAAAGTAGATCGCTAGGCAACTCCAAAAAATGCCCGTACGAATTGAAAGCCGGACGCCTTTCAATTGATAGAATAAGAACACCAGCACAACAAAAGGTAAAGCCCCGAAGAAAGCTGATATGATCTGCACAACCAAAGAGCGCACAAGCGCATCAAGAAAACCTTCCACAGGAAGGCATCCGTCCTTCAGGTTGGCACAATGGCACAATGCATTCAACCATAAGTTGTAGTCTTGCTCAGATCTGCCCATGCATTAAATAGCAAACACACTGCGATCAAAACCATATGTCGGAACTAGTAATTAAACACTATCTAGTCTAAGTCTATGTCTATATACTAGACATTTTTGTCCTTTGCGTTTATACCTGAAATGACTACCGATCTTTTCTTGAGACCCAATTGAGCTTTGATCTCTTGCTGTGAACTATGCAAGTATCGATGGTCTCAGTGGTTGTCCCGCAACGTCTCCGTGAAATACGTCTCACACGAAACGTCTCCTCTTCACCTGGAGAGATTGCACTTGAGCCATAGAAGACGGCTGACATCGCCCAGCCGCTGTAAATCTTCCCGAGGAGCACCGAGCAACGTACCATGGAAGAGCTCCGAGCATTGAGATGTTGGAAGGAGATCTTGGTGGGTTATTTTGCTCCATGTGCACGAGTACATAGTTTCCAAAGCACCCCCCTTTTTCATCCTTTTGTCTTTGCTGTCTTGGAGTCCCCTAAGCAAAGGAGAAAGAAAAAAACATTGTCAGATGACCTGCCAAGAAACCCATCTGCACTGCATGCTGTACCAAAAGCACAGTTTCCGCCAGCAGCTCCAAGTGCTGAAGTCCAACAAGAAGGCTTCAGCCCTTGAATGCAGCGCTGTATGTCCTGACTTTTGGTAGATCTTGGCCAAAGCTTTTAGGCCGAAGCCGGTCTGCACTCGCAGCATCTGTGAGTAAATCATACGTGCAGGTCCAGTGTCAAGCACGTCATAGAGCTCCTCTAACATGTGTCCCAACCCATGATGTGCGTGCTGGTCATGGGTCTGTGCGTAGTGTTTGGCATTCGCTTTCAAGCTGGCAATGGTTCTCGTCAAGTCCATGCGATCCTGGTTGCGCAGATCGGCCACGCGGGCACAGCCTAAAAGCCCTGCACCCACCAAGAGCATGATCCAATTGAGAATCGCCGCCCACCTGGGCCCATCGGCGCCGGGGGGGAGGAACGGTCGGGAACACTCCAAGAGATGGAACCCCATGTAACATCCAGTCGATGGGTGTGCTTTTTGATAGGGAGACGCCACAGGGCGTCTTTGGGTCGAGCGGTCATGCGGACCTTTTGGAGGGGCGAGTTCTCCCTGCGAGGTCTCCCGAAAAAAGCCGGCAGGCCGCTGTTGATTCCCCAAGTGGCCTAAAAGCAGACATTTGAGAGAAGAAGATTAGAAGAAAAACCATCCTTGAGCGAAACCAGGCCACTCAAAGATCCATAAACGACTGGTCAAGCTGCGTAGACCTTCGATGGAAAAGATCGCAGCAGCATTGCTGCAGAGCAAGGCCTGCTCAATGCTTCGCATGATCCCACCAAACAGCGACAAATGTGTGGTGCTACACAGCAGGCTCGTGTTCGTGACATTGATGAGCGACACTCCAACCGTGGACCACTCCTGGCGTTCTTCATCCAAGTAGGCGCACGTAGGGTCTGCAGGTCCGGCAAGCTCCGCTGGAATGGTGAAGTGAATCGGAGAAGCGAGGTCACCGATAGCAGAGCCATTGACAAAGATGTCCAGGCTGACAACGTCCTGAGACTTGAGGCCGGGAGGTGGGTGGGATCGACCGAAACCGTGCCCCTCCCTTTTCACCTAGCTGCCTAGCTAGAGGGGCTCCTGCCGTTCGTTGAAGGCTCGCTTTCATGATCGCAGCATTCACCCATCAAACAAGACCGAGAAACATCGCCGAAGGCCCAGACCCCAGATCCCGCCCCCGAAGCTCCAGGCACAGGGAAGACTGACTGATCTGTACAGGGGGTCTCTGAACTGCGGGAGAAGCATCTGACTGAAGTTCACTGCTGTTCAAGATGTCAAAGAGGGCGCCTCCCGGCGCTAGGAGTCCCATCACCTCAACTCACCAGGTGTTGTTCACTCGAAGTGCCATCTTGCTTTTTTTGCCGCTTGTCTCGGGGGTTCGGCCGTTTCGCGGAGCTGGAAGCGCATGCGCTCTGCATGGTGGAAAAGGGCGTATATATAGAGAAGAAAAAGGGAAGGCCACCAAGCTCTGGAAGCTGGAAAGAATCATCCGAGAACAAAGAAACCTTGCAAACAAAGCCTCTTTCTTCTCCCCGATCACTTCAGTGGGTTGCAATGTGATTCCGAATCACCACTTAGGAAGACAGAACGGATTCCTCATGAGGGCCATTGGTGAGAGCTTTAAAGATATTATGCGATAGCATATCGGGTCCCATTTGGCAAACCACCCAATTCACCAACCAACCCACCAACCCCATCATTTATGATGATGATGATGATGATGATGCAAAATCCCCTGCCCAGTACCACACACAGCTTGCGGACGCATCCTCCCGCTCTAAGCCCTTCCACACAGGTGGGGTGCCCGAGGGGTAGATAACATACAGGACAGATATGTGGCCAAAACAGCTCTACCCCTCAAACGTGCTGTTACCAATTCAGCTTATCTCAGATTATGCTCGGGAATTTTCAAAACTACCTTCTGAACCAACTTTCAATATACCCCGAAATTAGTACCGGAAGGTTCGTAAGTTTATTCGCAAAAGGAAGGACTTTCCATTCATTCTTGACATTTTGCTCGACACTTGAATAATTAGATGCTTTCTTCGTTAACTCACATGACGAGTCATCGCTAAGGAATTTAATGGCGCTGCATGGGGTGAAGTTGGACAAGATGGCCAAGCAAACTCCTATGGAAGCCAAGACGAACCAATGAGGAAGCACAGCTTGTCTTATCGGGGCTACAACTGGCATTGTATTTTCGAGATATCGAACAACGGCTCTGGAAGAAGAGGGCCTGATGTCTCAGCGATTTAGCGATGTTGTCTTCCTTCTCTTTACTGTCCTTTTCGAGTTTTAAGGACAAGTGCATCTGGTTAAGGCATGCCAAATATTTGCACACATCAAAAGAATGTCCATCTGAGAATGGCGATGTGTGAGAATTTGTTGTGTCAAGGATTTTAAGATTGGAAAATCATGTTTATTGATCGCTTTGGCTGCATCATCTGCTGCGTCATTACCAAGAATATGGTAGAGGTCTTGCAGGGATGCAGCCTCAGATACATTACTATGTGACTTAACTTTGTGTATCTGGTGATGTGACCCTGCCCAGTACCCGGTCGCGAGTATGGCAAGCAACCGCCTGATAGTCTTGCATGCGCGAGGTCCCGCCATGCTAATCTGAATAACAGCGACAACGAGATCACTGACCACCCCAATGGTGCAAGGAGAAGGGCTGGGAAAAGGCTGCTCAAGTCACCATGCCCATCAACCTGATTGAAACTTCTTCAAGGCAAAGAGTGGACAGCGATTGACGCATTCACCAGTGCCTCCTTCGACCCTCGATCCCAAATGATCCACAGAGGGTCGAGGGCGTCGACTCGAACATCTGACGGGTATTGAAGCTGAACGGCGTGAACGGCGAAAGAAACCCCGAGACACCGGGAGGAGAGCTGAAGCCGTTCATGTGCGTGGCGCCCCTTCACCCAGACATCGTCCGAGCGAAGCCCAGAACCCCCTCAACGTAGATCCACGTGGCGCAGATCGATGGTCCAAACGTTGGCACGTGGGACACGTTGGTCCCACCGGTTCCCGGCCTGGGGGTCGGAACGACACCTCTTATATAAGGAGACCGACTTGAACACCCTCTTCTGAACCAGTTTCTCGCAGCTGTGCCGTGGGAGCGGTCTATTTTCGCGACCGAGTCGAACACCTGACTCGTGCTGTTGGCGCTGGCCGGAATGGCCTTTCGACCACCAGGGGCGAGAAGACATGCTCAAGGCATGTGACTTACTCTGAATTCGAAGTGGTAATGAGTAATGAGTGCAATCACTTTACCCTCCGACGAACACATCACATGGAAGTGGAAAACGCCCCATTCATTGAGGAAAATGCTCTTCGCTCTGCACCCCTGCCATCCACTTCCCTGGCGTTTGATCTGAGCACTCCGTGTGTACATGAACACTTCACTGGTGACACGGCCACGTGTTCACCCTTGACATCCACCTCTCCGGTTTCGAGACCCGGGACAGTTCCGAGACCGTGGAATCGCCAAGCACCATGCCGGGTGGGCTGAACCATCGTCTTCCGGTCTGGTCCATGTCAGGTTCTTCCGGCTGAACCCGGGCGTGCCAGTGGTGAGTTGACTGGAACCGCAACGTTCGTTGAGGGCAGAGAAACCGACCGCAAAACGAGTGGATTCCTGGCTCCGTCGGTCGCGTCTTCCCTCAGCAAAAGGCTGACACAAAACTTCTTTGATTTCTTGACCAAACCTGATTGGCAAGTGATATATTTTTCGCCAAGGATGCCGAGGTCAGTCTTTTCAGGCAAAAGCCCATGTCAGCCAAGTTTGCAGCACAATTGTCAGCGTATGTCAGCGCAAGTAAGCCAAAATTTTGAGGGCTTCCCCCTGGCTGCAGCTGAACACATTGCTCAGTCCCTGTCGACAAATGATCATTGGGCATTGTTTTTGCCAGAGTAAGGCGACACAGCAGTCCAGACTGGGAGACAAATGAAAAGGATTGAAAGGTAGAGGTCGGCAGCGCGAGGCGGACATAGCAGTCCAAACAAGGCAAACACACTTAAAAGCATTGAGAACCCCAACAGAAAACTGTTTGGGGGAAAACATGGAAAAACTTGGACCACCGAAGCTACTAGGGGCTCCTGGCCTTACTACTAGGAACAAGGACGCTACTAACTAGGGGCTTTTGATTTGTATTGATTTGTCTGTTTCTCACGTGAGGAAACAATTCTCAATTCATGTCGTGCCCTATTAGGGTTCCTGAAACTTGTGGGCTTCCGCTACTTCCCACACCGACCGGTCGATGTTCAAGCAGAACGGGGTCCCATCCGGCGGTGGGAAGAATGGGAAATTGGTGGATTGCAGCTGAGCCACTGCCACGGCAGGCCCCCCGAAGGCTTCCAGTGTCGCAGCTGGTACTTCAACTTGAACATCTCCAAAGCCAAGCACCACTGCACTATCGTCTTGGGGGGGTGCCATGACAAAAGCGGCGGTGATAGTTCCATCTGGATCTATATCAATCTTCTGTGCTAGAAGACCTCCACCTGTGATGTTCTCAAGTCCATCCAGTAGGCTCAAGTAGCTCAGTTTCTTGGCGTTCAGGGCATCCAGCGCATTCTGCAAAGCTTCCGCAAAGCTTGGACCCGTGGTGGTGGTGGTGGACACCAAGTACCAGGCGGTCGGGCTCTCTCGTGAACTGGGCACTCCAGCAGCGTAGTCACTCTGATCGTACAAATGCATCCAGGACACATTGTCCTCAGAGCCCCAGAGGGAAAACTGAACTGGGTCTTCAGCCATGGAAATGCTGCCTGTAATAAACCTAAAGGCCTCGAGCATCACTGGCTCAGATAAATCAATTCGGATAGGATCCAATGAAAGAGTAGTAGTTGAACTCGTGGTGGATGTAGATGTGCTCGATGTAGATGTACTCGATGCTGATGTCGATGTGCCTGAAGTGGTGCTGGAGCTGGTTGAACTTGTGAGTGTGTCGCTTGTGGATGTTGTTAAGCTTGTGGATGTTGTATTTGTCATCGATGAAATGCTGCTGGAAGAGGATGTTCCTGTGAATGATGTTGTTGTATTGGTTAAGGACGAAGTGCTCGTCGAAGTTGCGCTTGATGTTGAGCTTGTTGTCGAAGTAGAGGTGTTTGTTAAGCTTGTTGTTGAAGTTGAGCTGCTCGTTGTAGATGTACTGCTGGTTAAGGTCGTGGAGGTCCAGGTGCGAGAGGTCAATGACGTAGTGGTCCGTGTCGTCGTCGTCGTCAAGCCAGAGGGCGTGGTCGATGTGTTGGTCCCTGTTGTGGATGTATATGTCGAAGTCTCAGTGACGGTGGTCGATGTAGAGTGGTTCGTGGACGAGGATGAAGTCGTGCCTGTTGATGTCGAAGAGGAAGTGCTCGTTGCACTTGAGGAAGTTGTGCTTGCTGTGGTGTTCGTGTTCGAGGTGCTTGTTATGGAGGTGCTTGTTATGGAGGTGCTTGTTATGGA